AGTCTTTTACAATATAAGCTTTGGGAGTACACTACAGAAATGTATAAATTTTATATGGGAAACAAAACACTCATAAAATATCTGTATATTTGTCTATCATTGCCATAAACATTCAAAAGATCAAATCAAATTGTTTTAGACTTGAGGCTGATGCTTGAAGCTATGATAATAAACCATGGCAAGGGCTCTTCTTTTATGCAAATTCCTGCAAAGAGTGTAACTAAGAAGTGAGAGAATGGGTTCTAGGCCTGTCAAGATGATTACAATATATTGATATATTGTTCAGTAAATTATAGCTGGAACAATACATTTTGGGGCTCAGTATTTATTGTGTGGCCTTTTCTTTACACTACTGGGGAGATTTTAGTTGTTTTTGTTATTATATCACTAATTATAGGTTCAATCTGCTATTTATTTGTTACAGCTCAGGCCTTTAAATTATACTGTCTATTTAAAAATGGTTTACTGGGATTATCTTGCGTTATTGTTATAGCATCAGTGGCATAAAGTAGCTTCAATATTAATGTTTATTGCAGTAATCTTCAGCAATATATCATGCTACAGATTTTTATACTGTGACAGGCACAAGTGTGAAAGACTGGGCTCGGGACAGCACAGTCACGTAATACAACATTCCTGTCACACTGATAATAAGGTCTCACATTATACGGGTAGAATACAGGCAACCACAACATAATAAACTTCACCAAAGCAGCAGGCCACATAAAACAGCTCACTTCTCTCATCTCTGCAAACTATACTACAGTGTGCCACTCCTAGGGCTGGGTTTCTACATTTTTTCCAGGCATCAGTACTCGAACGATACCCAGAGTTTGGTACTGGCGGACACTGGACAAGGGGAACAAAGAGGTCTGTTGTCCTCAGAGTTTTAGGGGCCCAGAATTGTACCCTTTTCCTATTAGTTTATATTCGAGGGGGGCTCATGTGAGGCTTCTTGCCCCGGGCCCCTAGATTTCTGTCAACGGGCGTACTGGCAGTACTTAGGCCTGTCATAATGATTATTATATCTCGACTTATCATTCAGTTTATGATAGAAAGAACAGTACTTTTTCCACGCTTAATGAATATCGTGTGTACCTTTTCTTTGCATTAGTGGGAAATTATTTCTTATTTTTTATATTATTACACCTATTTGATAACATTTAAGCTGTAGTTTATCAAATATTTAACCTCTATGACAAATTATAGATTCTAGAAATAAGTTTAAAACATGTTTAATTGTGCTATTGCTGTCCATTTTTTTTTACAATATGGTTCAAGGTTAACTGGGATAATCCTGCTTTTGAGTTATTGTGTCAGTGGTGTGTATAGTTTCAACATTATTATTTATTGGGGTATTTTTCTGCACCAATATATCATACTTCAATATGTATTATCGTGACAGGCCTAGACGTGTCTAAATGGTACTTTTTCTGTACCTATTCATAAATTACCAATTATTTTATACCATTGCTTTGAGGACACTGCCTTGTAAGTCTTTATAAAGCTCTCCCAGCATCCATCAGATGTCAAAACTTGTTATCAAAAGGAAACATATTTTCTATTTTTAGTACCAACTGTATACTTCGAATGGTACCCAGCCATATCTACTCCCTCAATGTCTCCATGGCATCTAAGTGTTTTCTAGTGTTTTACTCAAAAATAACCACAATGTAATACAATAATGCAGTGCAAAATATATGGTTGTTGTAATACAAGTCAAATTGCAAATTTTAAAAAGCTATTATTTTTCTCCCTGTAATATTTACTAAATGATAAAAACAAAATCAACTGCAACCCAGACATGTTTGTTCGGATTAGCCAGTTCCATCATATGAGAGGGTTTGTAAAAGGAGCTTTGGTCGGCTCAAGAAATGTAACAAAGGAAATGAGAAGCTTTTTTTTTTTTTTTACGTTTTCCCATTGTATGCTTTTTGAATAAGAGGGTGTATATATCTAGGCTGTGCTTTTTCCCTCTATCCATTTCATCATCAGCGAGCTATAGGGTAAATGAGCTCGGATATGCATCTCCCCCAAAGCTGAGTTCAACCTAATAAAAAGAAACCCCTAAAACACCAAACTAACCAGTTAGCCTAGTTTTATTAAGCCTTATTGCACATATGAATCCATGAAAATGATGTATTTGATTATATACTAATATCTTAAATTAACTAGTCAAAAACAAATGACTTGCCATACTGTTTCCTTGTATCATACTTGCGCAGAAATCTAATCCCAAATGTGCATTGTAATATTGGGATTGTCTGTTCAACTGTCTTTAAATATTTAACCTACTTTTACTGAAAGAAATAAGAAAAAATGAGGGACTGAGAATAGCTGCAGGTGGCCATTGACAAGTCTGCTCTAGCCTTGCATTCTGTGATCTTACATGGTGGGCTATATGTAGTCTACTCAGATGTATCCATTATGCTAAATTAAAAGAAACCCATAACATAATAAGAGTCATTTTATAGTCGAACCTAGATTAAGGTAGAATCAATATCATGGGGTCTTGCTGAAATAGATTAGGTCATTTGGGGTCAGTATCTGGTCAGCCTGTTATAATCAAAACTATCGAGTATTTCGTATCAATTGATTTCTTTGTTTTTAGATTACAAGCAGTGACTTTATATAAGATAGCAAGATTGCAAATGCTGCCTGGTGTGAAACAGATGTGTGCACGCCTAATCTAATCTCATGAGTAGCCTAAATAGCTAACTCAGTCTAGTCATTTCAGATCCATGTAGATGTAAAACATACTACGATTTCTGCACAAGAATGAGCCAGCGATGCTTGAATGCTGAAAGAGTACATCTTGTTCGGGCTAATGCCGGCTGATTTGGCTGAAATCAAGACTTTGTCCAAGCAGTGACTGGCGACATATGCCCTGACCATACACTGTGTAACATCAACAGCGTGCACTGAAACCTGCTGTAGCGCAAAATAATCGCAAGCTTCGCATTTCTATGAACACAAGAATATGTTTGCGTTTGGATTAAGCATATTTATTTAAGGTTGTGTTACTCACCCGTGAAGTGTCCCTTTCGTAGGTTTACAAGATGTCAAAAGAGAAGCTTTTCCGGCTGAGTCACCCCACCCTCAAACGCCCCTTTGTACGAGGCTCAGAATGCCGCTCGCTGATTGGTCAGACACACGTCGAGCTGGCAGCTGATTGGCTCCGTGGTGACAGCTGTTCTACCGGCGACCAATCAGGGTTTTGTGCGTTGATCATTCACACACTAGTCCGCGCTAAATCCTTGCGGTTTCACTTTTTATTAAACAAATGCAATTTTTATTTAGTAATCTATTTTTGCCTTACATTTTTAATTTGAATTTAAACGTTTTTTATAACTTAAAAATATGTTTGTTTTCTTTTTTCAACACAGACAAAATCCACGCCACCCACTTCAAATGCGTTTCTCTTTATAAGCACTAGAGGTCAGACAAGTACCCCATGTGACAGGAACTGGCTTGACCCTGATGATTTCACACCAGGTACCGCGAAAGGAAAGATTTGCCTTTCTGAGTACCACCAGATCTAAATCAGGTCTATAACAGTCCTATTCCAGGTCTAAACATGGACTAAACCATGTTCAAAAGTGGACTACATTATTTCCACTGTAAAATGAAATGATCGAAGGAGGACAAAAAAGTGGATAAAATGAACTCTAAATTGGACAAACCCAGGAAAACACCAGGAAGGGTTTGTTGTACCAGTGGCAGTGTATTATAAACAAAAAATACTGCTAATTGATGAGTTACAACAATGTATGTCTATGTAAAAACAATCATGATAGTGAGAGCACCCATTAGGGGCCCTGAACGGTTATGCAAATATGATTTAGGCACAGTTCACACCATAAACTATGTAAAGAATATATATACAGTCTATGATTCACCCTGTGTTAGTTTCAGTGTAGTTAGCTCCTCCTTTCAAACAGATATAAGGCAGTGTCCACAATCAATCTGACCAGGGGCCTTATTTATAAAGGATGGCGTAGGAAATTTCCCGTGCGTACTCCTAAGGCATTGTGGAAAGGCATGCATCCTTTATTTAGACAGAGAGGGCCCTTAAGAGCTAGCTCTCATTGCAAGAGCTCCCCGTTACACAAAAATGCAGGGGATATATATATATTTTATTTTTATTTTATTTATTTTTTTTTTCGGGTCGCGCGCGGACACGGACCACTCTGGCGCGCGGTGCGTAAAGACAAAAGTAAAGTGTTGGAGCTGCGCTCAGTCCCGGACCTGATGCTTCATTATACCAAAGCCTCGACCTGTGCTCCCTCTGATGAAGAGTTCTCTCTCAGGTCCGCTCGTTATTTCATCTTCTCTGTGTTGGGTCACAGCCACAGACTGTGGTCTATGTGTAGAAGTCTATGTTCAGAGCGCGACTGTTGGAGAGCCGCCGGAAAAGTGCACGCACTCGTGTATAATATTGACGAGAATAATGAGTGGAATAAACAGCCCCTCTCCCTGTTTTGCCCTCCTCTTCATTTTCACTTCCTCTTCACGAGTGTCGTTTTTCCCCCGCGTCTCCAGACTTTGCGCAGAGCGTACGTGTGTGTTAGTTTTAGTGTAGTTAGCTCCTCCTTTCAAACAGACATAAAGCAGTGTCCACCGGCAATCTCCCTTGCTGCCGCAGAGATAAGCAAAACACCGCGCTTAGGGGAGTTTCATAAATCCCGCGGTTGACGTAGAGGGCGCCTACGCAGTGCGTAGAACTGAAGAAGCCGCTTGGATCAGTTGACAGAATTTAATTTTTCTTTTGCTCTAGATCTTATACTTGGGCGACTGAGGGATTACACAGACATTATGTACTTATAATGCATACTAGCTTGAAAGAGACAAAATGTTGGGTGATGATGAATTACAGACTATAGGTTGAGGGCAGCCAGTAGTGCACTTATGACAGATAATAAATGTGCAAAGCCAAAGTTTGTGGAGTGTGACCAAGATAGAAATAAGGCTCCAACAGAGTGATATTATGTCAACATTTTATTACGCATCACCACCATGCAAAATCACTGCTATGAACTTGCTCAAAAATCAAACTAGATATATTTCACACATTTATGATTTTTTAGATTGGCTTGCCACTTGCGAAAGAGTTTCACACACTCAAAAATACATAAGAAGTGTGTGAGTATTCAGTATTTTAGCATGTGAGCAGGATTTGGTGCTATGTGTAAAAATGGCACATGAACCATAATTAAAGGTGCGCTGCGTAATTTTTCTGGTGGAGGGCCTGAAACATCTCCATGGAGATGTTATTGCTTTACATGGAATGTTCCATGGTTATTCATTATTAAACATATCCATCTAGGATTTATTCATTACGAGTGTTTCTATTGCTCAAAAATATCCTTCTGTGAATAATGGTGACTCCACAGATTTGAACAGTAATGTAGCATAGTGTTGTAACCTGTGTGTGTCCCTTGTGATAAATAGGTTTAAGCTATACTGCAGAACATTCTAGACGAAGCAATAACATTTCCTTGGAGACATCAGATAGTGGACCCTCTACTAGAAATTTTACGCAGTGCACCTTTAAAATGTAATGTAAGGTTTAATTCATTTCATCACTGCCCTCTCTGGTGTGACTTGTGTTTCTAAGCATAAAGGAAATGTCTTAAAATGTTGAAAAATCTGCAACATCACAGCTTTAGACTAAAGAAGCACAACATAAAACAAGGAGCAGAGCAGCGCTGGCTACGTACTGGACTGACAGTTTGAGAGACATCTTCCATTATCACTCAATCAGCTAAGGCAGAGTGCAATTTTACACAGATATCAAATGAAATCGCAGAAGGCCATTGTTCAAAAGCAAACATATAAATAAAGACATTTGAAACATTTAAGAGCAATGGTATAAAATCATGTGTGAAATCTATTCCACCATTAAAGGTCCTATATTGCGCAAAATTTACTCATGAGCTTTTTAGTCATGTTATAAGTTACCTCTTCAAAAACATACGATGAGTTGTGTTTTGTTTCATTCACACATTTCAATAACCATTTATTATTCTGTCTACATCTCTAAAGCTCAAAATGCTCTGTTCTACCTTGTGATGTCATGCAGCGGCACTTAAGTTAACAGCTACATTTAACCTTTAGATCAGTAGAAATTGGCAATTCCAGGACTGAAATCATCCAACTGATTCTAGCGAAGGTGTATGGAGTTTAAAAACACAATGGAGCATTTTCCGTATTAGTGTTTTCAATAGGAGAGAAGAACTCAGCCTAAATATGCAGGGTTTGAGTATTAAACAAAACACATCTCCATATTTTTGATGATGAAAACAACATTATAACATAGAGCAAAAATGTTCGTAATATGGGCCCTTTAATGAAAAGTAAAGTTACATAGGTATTGCAGTTGTCATAATCATTGATCTTAGATGGCACGTGGAGAAAGATCCTGGTTGAATGTGTTCGAACTAAGTTTTGCCAATTGGCACTGGCAGTGTATTATAATTCTTAACAACTTAACAAAAAGGATAGAAATAAAAAAAAAATCTCCAAATTGTGTGAGTTTTATGGCACCTGTGGTATCATAGACAGCTCAGTAGTAATCTCTTTACATCAGCTCACAGTATTAGCTTAAATAGCCTATATGTGTTGGTTAAAAATATATATCTTTACATAAATGTTTTCTATGGTTGGATTCAGCAGTGCTCATCTTCATTGCTTTGTATGAGTCCAGTGTTTTGTCCAGTGTCTTCTTGGTTATTGTTGCGTTTATATTGCTCGCGTAGTCACTGCTGCAACGTCACCTGTACAGTACAAAGACATGTAGATATAATTCGGACTGTCGTGATAAATACTATATACTTACATGTTAAATTTAGACAAACTTTATTGATCTACGAGGGAAATAATTTGGACACAGTAGCTCAAACATCACAATATATTATAATAACAAAGAGCAGGAATATAAATGGTAATAATACATTCAAATTAAAAAGCAAAAATAGCAAGAGACCAGTGTCAAATAAGGCATAATTATCCAAATGTGTATGTACCAATAAACATAAAAAATAGTGATATAGTAAGACAAAATATATCACGTCTATATACAAGATGTGGGTGAGAAACAGTGCAAAGATTAAGTAGTGTTCAATACATGATAGATGGAATAGTAGTGTCAGGGTCAGTATTTATCCTGTGTTCATTTTCTTTGCACTACTGTACTTTTTGTTATTTTTTGGCTGTATGATAAAAGGTTGATACATACTAAGTACAAAAGTGTTTCATTCTGCTGTTTAGTTGTTGCAGCTTGTATTTTTTAAAGAATATTGTAAATTTAGAATACTTTTATCATATTTATCATCTATATTTTCTTCAGCAATATACTGTATCTCACTTCAAAATTTGTGATAGGCCTAATTTGACAGGCCTATGTACAGTCACAGTAAGACAAGAGTTACTGTAAAGGTTTTGGTTTTGTTTAATTTGTATGTGTATATTACGATTCTCAAAAACAATAACAGGACAAAATTTGAGCTTTTCTGAATGGTTTTAGTTTGAATTTGAGCTTTATTAGAACAAAAAAGACCTTATGTTATTATGAAGAAAGTGTTTTGTTATTTTGTGGATGAAAATGAGATTATATTGCAAAAAATTATGGTTTCATAATTGGTATCAGTACTGAGTGAATTTCTTAGGCCTTTCTTTAGGCCTAGATACAGTCACAGTAAGATAAGAGATGTACTTTTGTTTTTTTTAACAATATTGTGCATTTAGAATAACTTAATGGCATAAATCTGCTTTAGGATAGTGGCAAAATTTTATTGTCTGTATTTACTTCAGCAATATAATGCCCATCAAAATTTGTTATTGTGACAGGCCTAGATACAGTCACACTAAGACAAAAGTTGTTCATTAGATTGAGAATATTTTCAGATGTACTTTTGTTGACTTAACTTTGCACTCACCATGCACGATTTGTCTGGTTCCGGTCTGTGCTTCATTAGTTCCTCCAACTTGAGCTCGTCCTCCAGCTGCTCCTCCAGATTGTTCTCGTAACTGTCGGCACCGCTGGAGGGTCTAAGAGACAATGGCCCATTTCAAAACATGCACCGAGAACACTGGGGTGTAATCAACAAAGCATGTATTTTATTTGACAGTAAATAAGTTGAAAGAGAAGAAAGAAAACTGATGCCTGAAGAGATCCGTTAAAAATAACCTTTGCACTTTAATGAAACAAGACTACGAGACGATAATTGCTTTGTTTATTATAAACGGGGGAAACCAAAACCACACAGTATGTTTCTTTATATACATAACATTACTGCCTTGTAGTTATTGATTTGAATTGTCTTTTGTGTCTAAAGTACAATTTTTTATGTGGAAAAAGGCCTTCTCTGTGGTAGGGACTAAGTTCTGGAATGCTCTGCCTCCCCACGTCTGAACAGCAGTGGTGTGTTTTAAGTCTGGTCTTAAAGGGCCCATATTACGCTATTTTCTAATCCAGGTTATAATGTTATTTCCTCATCACAAACATACCTGAAGTTGTGTTTTGTTTCATTCACACACATTTAATACTCAAACCCTGCATGTTTAGGCTGTGTTCTTCTCTCAAACAGAAAACACTCTCTGTTCCACCTTGTGATGTCATTTGGTAATACACAAAGTGCTCCACTGTATCCGTACAAACTCCAAATGCCCTCACTAGAAAAATTTGGATGATTTCAGTCCCGGAATTGCCAAGTTCTACAAAACAAAAGGTAAACGGTAGCTATTAACTTGAAAACTACTGCTTCATGACATCACAGGGTGGAACGGAGCATTTTGAGCTGTGGAGATGTAAACAGACTAATAAAAATAAAGGGTTACTCAAGCATGTGTGAAAGAAACAAAACACAATTGCAGGTATGTTTTTCAGGGGAACTGCATTTATTATAACATAGCTTAAAGCTCATAAGAATACATTTTGTGTAATATAGGACTTTTAACATTACTGTTTTAGTTATTGATATGAATTATCTTTGGAACGCTCTGCCTCTTCACATCCTATCTGCCCCCGCAGTTTTAAGTCTCGTCTTAACAACCACTTTTATTCTCTGACAGTTAACACCAAGTAAGTTGTGTAGTTATTTTTGTCTAATTACAGTTTTGGGTTTTTTTTTCAGTGATTTTAGCATAATCTTTGAAACTTGGATTAGTTTAATCATTTAGTTCCAACATGTATCTGAACAGGGCCACAGGTGGTGAAATCATTTGGAACATATCTCATCGGTTCACACAGTTCTCAGGCTCTTTCTCTGAACAGAACACACAGCTCTCATTCACAAACATACATTATCATCTGTGTCTATTTATTTATTTTTATTGCTGTTTTATGTTTTTTGTCTTTGTTTGATGTTTCTGTTTTGTACTAGTAAGAGCAAAGTGTTTTCCTTTTGCTGTATTTTATTGTACTTGTGTCTCTGTGCAGCATTTTGGAAATTGTATGTTTAAAAAATTGTATAGATAAATACAGTAGATTTGCTGTTCTGTTTTTCATAACTGTTTTTTAAATGTTTTGTGATTTTTTTTTTTTTTCTTGAAAGAGTCAATTCTTAAATAGAATAAAAAAAGAATCCTCTTACATATATCACCCACTAGATGGTGCCATTGTGTTACTACTTTATTTGTGAGTGAAGGGCTTACTTCTGTCACCTCAAAAGACTTGGTTGGCATAGTTGCTTTAAGTTTTTTAGTGCCATGGTAAAACAACTTCATAGTCAATCCCCATCTGAGACAATTTTTCATTTTTAGTATAATAATATAGCTATTGAGTTTTTGACCCACTTGCCATCTCATAACATTAGAAACTGCAAGATTAATCACAATCAAAATGACAATTTTAATGGACACAATTAGCAAATCGCAAAGGCTGCAGTTTTTAATGTACTATCATTTCTGCCACAAACAATGAAATATCCTATCTGTTATCTATCTGTTTTATTTTACATAAAACTGTTGAGCTGACCTTGTAGTTTAGATCTGTACAAACATGTTCTGAAATGTGATTCTTGTATTGGTTTGCCAGTTAATATTTCAGTCCTTTTGTCAGTTCTCCTGGACGCGTTTAAAATGTGAACTTTGAACAGAATCCTTTTATTAAAACGCAAATCACAAATCAAATCTCAATAGCCATGCTTGTCAGAAAAAATTCAATTTGATATATTTCCCAAATCATTCAACCTTTAACGGCATTCATAAGACATACTCCTTTGGGTCTTGAGTTATTAAAGAAAGGTAAAAATATAACCAGAAATAATAATTACAGATGGTAATCATTACAAGTGTTTTGTACCTTGGTTTATAACTGAAGAAAGGATCTGATGTTGCAGCCAAAAGCTCACGTCCCAAGTCTGAATCTACTGTGCTCTCTGTCTCACTTCCACCTTCTGTGAGACAAAACAATAGTTATTATTCAAAACACTTTAAAATAAGATCACTTTTACTTTTATTTTAATTTATTACCTGAATTAAGCTCTTTAACCAGTGATGACATTGTGTTGGTGATAGAATCAGCAGCAATGAGAAGGTCAGTCCTTAAATTTCGCCTCGGACCTATTAAAAACATCATAAATGTTACTGTAAATATTTTGGTCTGGTTTAGTTGTATGTGTGTATTAGGGAAGTAAAGTATCGAAAATCAAATACTAACCAATATTAAAACTAATATCAAAACTGGGTACTTGTTTGAGCAGGTATCAATACTGTTTTAGAGTGATTTTGAGTTTTATCAGAATAAATAAAACCTAACGCTAAGATATAGAAAGTATTATCATTTTGTATATGAAAATTACATGAGTATTTTGTTTTCATCTTCATTGTGGTATCGTAAGTTGTATCTAATATTGAGATTTTAGTATTGTGACAACACTAGTTACCACGTATGTTACCTTGAGCGAAAGCCTCCTGTACATCTCCTCCTACTCCCATGAGCGAGTCCTGGGGCGTGTGGGTGGGAGTGGTGCAGGTGGAGTCGGACAGGATGGGTGTGGGGATAGGTCGACTGATGGAGTGGCTGGGAGAGGAGCGTGGAGAGCCAGGACCCTGAGTCTACAGAGGGAACAACATCAGAGCACAAAGTCTTAGCAAGATTCAATGCAGAAAAATTACTTAATATCTAAAAAAAAAAAAAAAAAACTACTCTTAAAAGTTTTCTGGTGGAGGGCTTGCCATTTGCTTGTCCACAGTATGGCATTAAACAGATGCGTCTCCATAAAGACAAATATGTGACACCACGAGGTCAAGTTACTGGTCAGATCTGTGGAGAAAGAGCCCTACTTACAGTACAGATGCATGCATGTATTTCTGGGCAATAAAAACACATATATTTGAAACAATGGAGAGATAGATGATGCCATACTGTGGAACATTCTGGGCAAATCTATAAGTTGAGACAAAAAAGTGGCAGACCATCCACCAGAAAAGTTACACATTGCACCTTTAAGTTAACTCTGACAGGTTTAGGTAATTCTCCTTCACATTCTCTTGCATAAAATATTATTTATAATAGTATACTTTACCAAGTGAAAATAAATAAAACTTAACTAAACTCTCTGCACAAGGTAACTTGTAATTTGTAGTGAACACTGTGTTACTATTCGCTAAGCTGATTTTGGGAACACCTTGAACGTAATCTTCAAGTTTCTCTAACTAGCTGCTGTATCGTTCAAATTAAGAAGCACTTCAATCTGGATCCATTTATTTTGTTCTCTTAAATTCCAATGATTGGGCTATTTCTCTAAGATAAACAAATGTATTTCACACACACCATTCCCCAAAAAGTATATGTATTTTTAATTAATACCTAATGTTATTTTCCAGTGATATGAAATTACATTATTAGAACAAGGTTAGTTCTAAACAGTAAACTAGCATGTTATAGACTTTTCACTTGCAATGGCCATGCATAAATATATATACAAAACAACAAGCTTATTTAGTTAGGGGTTATCTAATATTGAGACTTACAGCCTCCTTCCGTTCCTCTTCAATCTGAAAAATAATTTTATGGTTTGTGAAACCACAACCTCATTGCATTGAGTATTTCTAGAAATCCAATTGTGTTTGCTTCAGGATGTAACAGCAGGTGACTTTCTCATGCATCTTTAATGGATTAGCATTGATCCTTTTAGGCTAATTACATTGATATCCTCCCCACTTAAGCCACTACAGTAAGCAGTTTACTCTGGCTTTAAAGAAGTCCTGTCTTGTTGACTGCAGATGATATTCTCACACCAAAGGTTATTCGTCTCAGTGGGGGGTGGACACTTGTCTTGTAAGGTGTGATGGAGCATAATCCTCCAGCTCAGTGCCCTGTTCTTAACTCATCTGTCCAGACTGAGGCTCACAGCAGGGGGCCTTTCAGCTAATGACACTAATCTGCATCATCATGTGCGTTACTTTTGTTTCAAGTGGAAACTGTACTGTATGTAATAAATAATGTATATCTAAGGGATGGATCTCTCTTCACTGGCATAAGGTTATAGTCAAATGTGTCACAGTCAGGAGCAGTCAACAGTTAAAGTTAAAAATTTAAATAAGATAACCTGTCCTGTTTAGGTGTTTGATTTTACATAAAAAGGTGAGAGTGACTTTATTGATCCCGAAAATTCAATTAATGACATCAGCTGCAAAGAACAAAACCAACTAACTAGCTTTTTAATCAAATATAACCCTGTCATTTTGATATTTGTAGAAACAACAAAAAAAATGTACAAAGAATGCTAATTATAAAACCGTGTATAAGTCTATTAGTGACATGAGGTGTGTGTGGTACCTTGAGAAGCATCATTAGTTGCTCTAGCTGCACCATGAGTTCCCTGCGACTCTCCTGCAGTGTAGACATTCTTTGTTCGAGCTCATCTTTGCGTTGCCTGACAGAAAGAACAAGCTGTTCAGTGTTAACAAAAACTTAGTTTTACACTGAAAAGAGGTCTAAAAGGTGGATTCAAAGTAACACTGAACGATTTAATCACTGGACGAATCAATTAAAGTTACTGTTGTTACTGTCTTAGAAATGGTTTGCAGTGGTCCAAAGTTATTCCTCACTTACCTTACCTTACCTTAGCTTACCTTAGTTTACCTTACGCATTCAGACCTAATTATTCACCACAATGAGTTTATAAGTGCTTTTCACAACTTTGAGAGACCAGAGTGGAGTAACTAGCATGCTAACAGTGCACTGATTATTAGAGAATAAAAAGCTTGAGGTGTAGACAGCATGCAGCAGACATATTTTGACCTCAAGAGCTGATTTTAAAATATATCTGTACTAGAATGAAACACATTTTGCTCAAATAAATGGAAAAATCTGGTACCTTTAAGTATTTATTGACAGACTGAAAATATGATTAAGATGAAGCAACGTGTTATGTGGAAAGTGTGGAAAGATTCATGCGCTAATAATATATCTGTATAAATAATAAATGTGCGTTGTACCTGAGATGTCGTAGCTCAGCCAGCAGGGTGGGGTTCTGCTGGCCTCTGTCTGGTGGGGGCTGGGAGGCCTCTTCGTGCTGAAGACGTAACCGCTGGATTTCAAGTAATATTTCTCTGAAACACATGACATTTACTAATTAATTTAAGGCAAGGCAAGTTTGTATAGCACAATTTGTACACAGTAATTCAAATTACTTCTCAAAATAAGAAAAACATAAAAATCACAATATAAACAAATCAAAACATAAATAATTATCCTAACATTAAAAGGCAAGAGTGCAGAATTAAACCTTTTCCTAATATGCACAGCTAAACTGAACCGCTGTTTCCTTATTGGTGGCACCTGGGGTATGGACATGGACAGTGGACATAGCTAACCTCCTAGTCAAATAGGAAGCACGGGCACACTTCCTACTCCACTGAATCTGGCTCCAATTCACTTTTTACTGAAAAAACTTTGCTGATGTCTTCGTAACTGCTGCTGTCAGACTCATCATTTTAGTTTTAAAATGTTTGCATTAACCTGCTCTACATGATCCTAGTGTTTTATTTTGCTATTTTGTCCACTTCTTTATACAGTCTATGGGTGGAACATACATCAGCTGCTTTGGGATTAGAGGAATGGCAGTTTGCACTTAAACACTGCTGACAATTATGGACGGACAGCTGTTGACATTCAGTATTCTTAAGTCATCATGCCAATACTAACTAACAGTATAACTATTTAGATTCTGAATTCCTTGATTAGATGGATCAATAGATAGATCGGTATATGGATAGATACTTTACTGATCCCAAAGGAAAGTTTTGTAGCAGCAACATAGAAACAAACATAGCAACAAAGCATAGTACAGCATAACATAACATAACAAAAAGGAATCTAATAAACCAAGCATTAAATAATAATACAGTTATACTATTCTCCAGAGTGTTCCAGAGGAGATAAGGTCAGGTCAAGTCATGGGTCAAGTTAATTCAATGGATTTTGTAAGTTAAACAGGAGGCCTACAAGGTGTTTTTCAATATAGTGGGCAATGCAAGGATTCATAAAAAAGGAGACATCTGTGGCACGTCTGGTCTTTGCTGTATCAATTTATTGCAAAAACTTAAACTATAGCTATATGTGCTTATGTACAATAACTGTGTGTAACGAGTCACACAGGAAGTGTTTTTTATTATTATTATTATCAGTGGGAGATTATAAGGTCACACTTCATCCCACTCCCTTTCGACCATGACAAATGGAAGTTTTCACACTTAGAGACAAATTTGTTCTTTCTTTTCTGAGATAGCTATTTATTATTATTATTGTTATTATTATTATTATTATTATTAATTTATTGATTTTTATTATTATATTCTTTTCTATGTACTTTCTTCACCTTGATTGTTAAGATGCATTATATGTTGAATACATATGTTCAAAATAAACAAACAAACAAAAATATTAATACGCTTTGACTAATACAGTGTTCCTCAGAGCAGTGTTCATACATAGTTATGATATGACAGAAACTGAATCTTTTAGAATAAACTACATAACTCATTTCGCAGTAGTGTTCTCACCTGTTTTTGCTCTCCAGCTCCGCGATGAGTTGCCTTTGCTGCTTGTTGGCGTCCAGAGAACAGGGCAGGTCTGTGGGGACCCGTTGCTGCTGAGCCTGTCAAGAATCAAGAGATCACATGTGTTACACCACCAGTCTAAAGTTTGGACACACTTCATTTACTTTTCTTCTTTATTTCCATGTATACTTGCATTATAGATTCTCACTGAAAGCATCAAACCTATGAATGAACACATATGGCATGTAGCAAACAAAAACTATGCTCAAAATATTTCAAAACGTGTGATAATAAAATAACCATTTACTTTGAATCCTGATTTGTGCTTTTGGCTTTTCTTGACTCTGACATGGTAAAGCTGTGATGTGAAACCATTTCAGATATAATTTACTGATAGAAACCAAAGACTTTACAGCACTGTCAACAAAGCAAAATGTGACTATTTTGAGGATTTTTATATAAAACATTTAGTTCAGCTGAGTTAACTTTTTTCTTTATGACATAATTTCCCTCAGGCTCAATAAAGTATCTCGCTCTCTAATTCCATACATCTCGTATCATATATTATATCAAATGTAGAAAGTAGTAAACAAAATGGAAAAAAACACTGAATGAGATTGTGTGTCTAAACTGGTAGTGTAGCTGATGTCATCCAACCACCTTATCTTTCACATCTCACTGGGAAACAAAAACAGTCAGGTCACCTGCCATCCATCAAGACCCCATCAGGGCAAAGAGAGGCTTCCTGGTCTGCCTACAAATGACCACTACCTGCACATCCCTCCTTCATCTTGACAATAAGAGGACTGAGAACTCCCAAGGGTGTAGATACAAACGTTGAACCTCTTCTATTGTGCAATATATTCCCGGCACTAGACCAGATGAAAGATGTCATGATAGCGTTTGCAATAATGTGGGCTGTATCTCACCGCAGCATCAGCAGCCAGCCGAGCAGCGTAGCGAGCAATGAGGCTGTGTTCCTCGTCTTGAAGGTGGTTACTCCTCTCCAGCAAACTGAACACAAGGAAATTACAAAAAGCATAGTCACTCCTCCACGTGATGTATATAGAAAAATAAATGAAGAAATGCAGTTAGGAGGTAGATTAGTTTCTAGGTGGGTAAGCATTAAAGGGTCCATATTACACTGTTTTCTGATGTTTCGTCTTCAAAAACATACCAGAAGTTGTGTTTTGTTTCATTCATACATGTTTAACACACAAACCCTGCATATTTAGGCTGTGTTCTTCTCTCAAATAGAAAACACTCCACCTTCCACCTTGTGATGTCATGCGGTAATACAGGAAGTGCTCCACTGTGTTTTTAAATTCTGCACGCCTTCACTAGAATCATTTGGATCATTTCAACCCTGGAATTGTCAATATTTACTGAAAAAAAGCTGTGAACATAAAACTACAGCTTCATGGCATCACAAGGTTAGCTTGGGAGATGAAGGCAACCTAATAATAAAGGGTTACTCAAACATGTGTGACTGAAACAAAACATAACTCCGGGTATGTTTTTGATTGAGCCATGTTTTAATGCTGTTACCTAAAGCTCGGAAGAGTAAATTTTGTATAATATAGGACCTTTAAGAGCAGTGATCATTGCAGAGCCTCAGATGAGCAGTTAGCTTGTATAGCTGTATTGATCAAGAGGAGACAGTTGATCTGTACACTGTAAAAATGAGTGTTTTTGCACACATGGGAAATGCACTCACTCAGGGCAATAATGTCACACAGCTGCAGAGATAAAACAGGTGGTAAACTTTATTTGCAGCACTGCCTCTACTGTAAAATACATGCACAGCGTGATTAGTGCTCATACACACAAGCACACAAACACACACGGCCACATACACACGCACACATACAAACATACACACGCATAGAGAGACAAACACACGCACACACACTTACACCGTATGGGGAAATAGTTATTTTGAGGATAGATTGTAGAGCATGTAAGTATATGTGCATGACTGAATAAGGCTGGCACATCCAAAATAATTGATGTTCTAATTTCAAATAAAAAAATACATTTTAAGTGATATTTTAACTGATTATTGTTCTAGTTTTCAAATATGGTTGTTGGTGTAATTACAATAAGGGAATGCTATCTGTTTACATTTGAGTCCTTTAGTATAAAAGATTATCAATAATAATAATAAACTGAAACTTTAAACTGAATGTTCAAAGTAAATAATAGTACACGTAATCTATCCCATCTGAAATCTCGATAAGCCTCTTTTCAGCAAAGGTTAAAACGGTCATAGACGGCTTTAATATTTCGTTTTTTATTTGATGTCATGTACCATTGTAAGGGTGCCCAGCCTGCCCATAAAACAAATCAAATAGCAGGACCAGAGCCAGAGGTAGTCAAGTGTGACAAATGTTATACTGACCAGAAAATACAAAGTACGAAATGCACAGATTCACAAGTATTCATCAGGGGTTAGTAAACTTAGCAGCTAGGCCTGTCATGATAACAAATATTGAAGTCCAAGATCTAGAATAAAATATAGATGAAAATATTGAAACTAATATATACCACTGACACAGTAACCATAAAGAAGGATTATCTAAAATCTACATGTACAATATTGTTAAAACATGAGCTGCAATAAATAAATAGCAGAATGAAACACAAGTAGTTTGTAAATCATACAAATTATTTATTCTACCCTCTACAGCTCAAATTTTATCATAGTACAAAAAAATAACAAAAAGTAATCCAATAATACAAAGTTTTTCTATTATTATTATTATAATTTTTGTGTGTGTGTGTGTGTGTGTGTGTGTGTATTGAATGTAATTGTTGTATTTGTTGTGATTTCTTGTTGTATTTGTACAGTGACTGTTTGATACACCTGTCTATTAGTGTTAACAATACTCAAATACTAAAATCAAATTAAAAATTTAAGAATGATAAATATTAACCCCCCAAAAATCTTTCCATCAAATAGTACTGATCAGTTAGTAGATATATAGTATTTACCGTGACAGGCCTAAAAGCAGCATGCAGTATTAACGTAGAAACCTATAGAAATTTAAGGTTAGAGCTGCAAAGTGGCCATTCAGCAGAGCATATGTTTTCCACAGTTTTTTGGCTCCACACATCAGCAGGATACCACACACCCACTAACCATGACTTGGGGTTGTTTTGTAGCAGGCTCACATAGAGACCAATGAGAAAATGTTCATCTGAAAGTCTATCGGCCACATCCAGGTTGTAGTTTAACCTGAAAGAGCGCACCATTCCACAAAGACATCAGAAGAAGACATTGCACAGGTGATGGTGGATAGGTGAAGTGAAAAGAGGAGTAGGTAGCACTAGAGAAAGGAGAGAAAGTGCAGACAAAGGGGCTAGGGGGGAGAATGGGCTGAAAGAGAGCTCTTCATGGATGGCTAGAGAGAAACAAGGCCATATTATGTGTGGGAGAGACACCATTGATAAAGGCTAACAGAATGATTAAGGGCATGCTCAGCAAAAGAGGGGAGCTACATGCACTACTTATATTACACAAACATTAATCACCCAAGCTGCATTACTGAAACTATACTCCCTTTAAGATCTAAGTAATTGCAATGTTACCGGCTATAGAACAAACCAATTATGAGAGCTATGTTCCAACTTGGCCCAAACATGATGTATTATTCAACTTAACCTGCAGATTTAAAATGAAAGCACTGAAAACTAGCCTTCAGTTTGGATTTAATATAAAATGAACTATTGTTAAATTAAGTTGATAAGATATTTCTGAAAATAACAATTGCAATATATAATCTGCAATAGTTTATTGACACAATAGAAAGTATATATTCTGAATATGCTTGATTATTTCACTTAAAGGTACACTATGTAACTTTTCTGGTGGAGGGTCTGCCATCAGCTTAGTGGATTAGTAAATTATTGCTTTGGAATGTTATGTATGTTTGGTATGGTATTAAATCTCCAAGAAGACAGGAAGGTAATGCCATCAGGCCAATCTAGAAATCAGATCTGTGGAAAGGCAACCCTGTGGAGCCAAAAGTGGCTCTAAATAGATATTTTTGACCATTAACAAAAACTACAAATGACTGAATGCAAGATGATTATGGTAATGTTATATAGTGTAACATTCCAGGCAAAGGTAGAATATTTCCATGAAGAAACTCAAACTCAGGCATAACATCCACCAGAAGTTATATAGTGCACCTTTAAGTCTCACTATGTGTCAGTTGTCTGGCCAAAGATTGATGTTTCCTTTTAGATGGGAATCTATGCATGTGGTTAGCTTGCAAATTTTTACTTTCAAGGCCCTGCCAGTAAATATATTGCAAAGCAGACTGTTGCTACAGACTGATTTCATGCAATCTAACAGAGCCACACTATACAACTAAAATGATCAACTTCTTGCACATTGATACTCTGCAGTGAGATCATGCTGAGGGTGTTTTGCATGTATTTTCTATGGCAGAATGTTCATCAGTTACCATGGTGACACAATGCACACATTAGCAAACACTGACAAAAAAAAAAGTCTGAAAACTCAAGAAAAAAATACAAAATTGTCCTTGAGATCAAGCTGAGTCTTCATGGTCCTGTTTAGGTGATTTTCAACCAAAAAGCTGAGAGTGACTACCTGAAAAAACTGTTAGTGACAGTAATTTTATGTGTGCAAAACATTTCACCTGTTGTAGGTCCAACTAGGTTCTTCATGGTCAGATTGTGTTAAAACAAAGCTCGGATTAAAGTCTAACTTGAGTAACAGAGGTTCAGACAGACCAGATCTTACAGTTAGCATCACACCCCCACAGAATATTAATGACATCAGCTGCAAAGTATCAATTGGACTTTCTGCTATCTTGTTATCCTTGTTACCTACATTTATTCACATGCATTTTTTTCAGAACTGTGCACCTGTGTCACTTACCCTCTGCCTTTCAACAGATGGGGTGCAGTCACAGTCAAGGGCTTTCTTTGTTCAACACTATTCTTGCTGTAAGGTAAGCTACGTAAATTCAGTAAAAAGAAGTACAAAAGCAGACACACACAAAATGAAGATAGTCTTGTTCACATAGTGTTCAGGGCCTATGGGGAGCACTGGCAGCTGAAAAGATCTGTTCTCAAATCCAGGACACGCCATTGTTTAGGCTGTACTCACTTTTTGGTGGAGTAAGGGTTCCCTGATGTTGGCATGGAGTGGGAGAAGGAGTAGTCATTGGGATAATTCACGGGTCTCGGAGGCCTACACAGAAATATTGGACAATTTTATTAGAAGGATAGAGGAAGTTTTTATGTTTCTTACACTGTACATGTTACCTACAAACCAAGCATGGATGTAAGAGGGTTCGGTGTGAAACATGAGAAACACTATGAGAGTTAATAGCAATCAGGGGTGGAAAGGAACTAATTAGAAATACTCGCAGTCACATTACTGTAATTGAGTAGATATTGGGTAATTATCATTATTAGGTGGATTTAAGGGATGTGGATGTAATTATTAAAGTGATAATACGTAACTGTCTGGAGGTGGTAAGTCAACTGCATGGTTCCATGGAAATAGGAAAGTTAAAACCATACTTTGGAACATTCTCCATGGAGATAGATACATTTTATGCAATACTGTGGAATATCATAGTTATAAATGGAAATCTATGGAAAGAAGCAGAAATAGGCCCTCCTCCAGGCAAAATAAGAGTTTGTTTTTGCATTTTTATATGTTTTTAGATCAATAAAATATCCATAATAATGAATCAACATTCTTATATTATAGTCATTTTTTGGCAAACAAAGGTTACATACTGTGGCTTTAAGTACAAATTTGACAGCAGTACTTGAGTACAAAATTTCACTACTCTTTCCACCACTGTTCACAATACACCTATAGAATGGGTAATCCTATTTATGGGGTGATGTTTTTAGACACAGAGTATATGTTACAGAAGGAAATATCTAGTGCAAAGTTACACAAAATAAGCAAATTACACTCACCATGTATCTCTATTTTCATCAAGGCAGCAAAAAAGGAATACAAAGTGCTTTTAATATATTGCAGAAAACATATGCCAAAACCATGGAGTTGTGTTTTGTTTCATTCACCCATGTTTGAGTAACCTTTTATTATTTAAAAAAAAAAGCTTAATTCTTAATGATTCTAGTGAAGGTGTATGGAGTTTAAAAACACAGTGGATCACTTCCTGTATTACCATATAACATCACAAAGTGCAACAGAGTGCAACCGTTTGACAGAACAACACAGCCTAAATGTGCAGGACTGGTGTGCTAAATATGAGTGAATGAAACAAAACACAACTCCAGGTATGTTTTCAACATGTTCAACATTAAAACATAGATCAGAAAATAGCCAGTATGGCCTATTTAAGTCTATCATGAAAGCTTTTGTTTGTAAGACATTACTGGACAGCAGATGCAGCTAACATAAATTAGAATCACTCCCAGGGCTATAATTAAATCCTATTGATCAGCTGCCTCAAATGATTGACTGAAATCACTTCACATTTAGCATGGCCTTAAGGACCATACTCAGCCAGAGGGTACAAATCAAACAGTTACAACTGAAAAGAAGATGTTTTCCATACAGACTGGTCTTAAAGGAGATCGACAGAACTAGACTTACACAATGTGAGCGAGGTTCAGAGGTTTTTCTGGCATTTCAGGAAACAAGGGGTGGAGAGGCTCTCTGCTGGACGCACAACTCAGAGATTTACTCAGAGCATGGGACAGCTTCTTTGCAGGGGATTTCTACCAAGATCAAAAAGCAGGGAAGTCAGGTAAAGAAAGAGAGAAAAAACATATACTTAAAGGGCCCATTTTCAAAAAATTGACTCTTGTGAGCTTTAAGCCATGTTAGAATCTTGTTACCTCACCAAAAAAATAAAAAATTTGTTCATACACACGTCTGAGTAATTCTTTATTATTAGTCTGTCTGTCAAAATGCTCTGTTCCACCTTATGATGTCATTAAGCAATAGTTTTCAAGTTGACAGCTACTTTTTACTTTTGTCCAGTAGAGATTGGTAATTTCAGGTCTGAAATTATCCAAATGATTCTAAAGAAGGTGTTTGGAAGAACATAGCCTAGATATGCAGGATGTGTGTGTTAAACATGTTTGAATGAAACAAAACACAACTCCGGGTATATTTTTGATTACATAACAACATTACAACACGGCTTAAAGCTCACAAGAGTAACTTTTGTATAATATATGACTTTTAAACAGTAATTCCCTTATGATATTGCTATTTGTCTCAAAATAGCCAATCGGGGGAAGGTAGTATCCATACATTACAATGCAGCAAATAACCATGACGACGGTCTACTACGGACACACCCCCTAAGCCCCGCCCCACTCCCCCCTCTCCCTCTTGTGTGTCTTTACCCATGACGTGTACTCCTTCATTTGGTGCTGGTTGCTATGGGAACCACTGGCATGCCCCCTCCAGAAGCAGTCCTGACAGAGCTGGTAATTATGACATTGCTGGCAGCGGTAGCGGAAGCCCATCATGCTCTCGGTGTGGCAGTAGGAGCACTCGACCGGGTGAAAGACTGCGGAGAGACAGAGGGAGGGAGGGGGAGAGAAAGAGAGAGAGGGGGAGAGAGAGTGAAGGAGGGAGAAGGAGAGGGAGAGGGGGGTAGAGAGGAAGAGAGAAAGGGGGAGGCAGGGGTAGGAAGGGAGAGGGGGGCAGAAGAAGAGAGAGAGCGAGAGAGGGGGAGAGAGGGGAGAGGGAGAAAGAGAGGGAGGGGGCAGAGGGTGGGGGAGAGAAAAAGCAAGAGAGAGAGAGAAAGAGTGGAAGAGAGAGAGAGAAAATGGGAGAGGAAGAGAGAGATTGAAAGAGAGAAAGAGAGAGAGAGAAGGAGATAGGGGTCAGACACAAAAACAGATGTGATGTGTGTAAAAAAGTCAAGCAGCATCACATTGTAATGAGCGGAGGATTAATTTCTACTAATATAAGGGCAGATGTGTTCTGGCATTGAGCTGATTTAAAAAAAAAATAGCAGTAAAAAAATCAGACAGAACTTTCCCATTTGTTTCTGAGAATAGATTGTGAGTTTAATAGCGTTATTTTTATACATTTCAAAATTCCACAGAATCATAAACAAAAACTAAACACAGACTGCATAAGGACAAATTTGGGCATACAGCATTTTCCTTCTGTTTGCTTGTAAGGAAGCAGTCACAAATGTTTAGATGTTTTGTAAAGCTTTATAAGTTATCATTGATCAGTCCATGGGAGCATACATTAGTTGAACTAGTGAATTAGTGAATCTAAATGAAAAACTAAATTGTTGTTGTCCTATAAAGTGGAAGATGTCCTGGTATCATCCATAGGCCTGTCAGACTAAATACTATATCAGCTTATCATTCTATATACGATGATGAAACGATCATTTTCAATATTTATCGTGGGAACTTTTTCTTTGCTCTAGTGGGGAAATTTGTTATTTTTTGTACTATGATGAGATTTGAGCTGTAGGAGTTTGAATTATGACCTCATCACACATTATAGACACAAACTAACTAAGTTAGTGTTTATTGTTTTACTTATTGCAGTAATTTTATTTATTTTTATATATATATATATATTTTTTTTTTACAATATTGTACATTTAGAATAGTTTTTGAGAGATAATTCTGCTTTATGGTTTGGTTTGAATTAGGGCTGTGCCAAAAGTTGAAAGATTGATAGATCGCAGTCTCTACTTTGGTCGATCTTGATGATATGGCATGCTTATTTTAATCAACAGGTCAACAGCCAAACATGTGGTAGCAAGGGTGCATAGCGCTGACGAGGATTTATGCCCTTGTTTAGGAAAAAGTCACCTGAGTCACAGCCTGTCCTTTTGTCTCCTCACATGCTCACAAGTTTTGATTTAAATCTGCACAATTTGACTAAAAGTCCAGTCTCCTTCTGTCTCTGTCTGTGTGGTGCCGTCTGACCGCTCCCTCCGCTCCCCCCTCTCTCTGATCCAGCAGCAGCTCCTCACCTTGTCTCCTCTTTCTCTCCTCTGGTGCTTCTCATCTTTATAATCCAAGTTATGCAAAGGAAATGACTATTTTCTCACCGTTTATGAGTGGAACTTAATGCCTCGTTTAGCACAAGGACATGTGTTTCTGTTGACAGCAGTAACACACACATGCATGAGGGGAAATCATGTTTCTTTTTTCCCCATATCGCCTAGCCCTAGCTTCAATATTATTGTTTAATGTATATTTTTTTAGCAATAAATGTATGTCACACTTAAAATTTTTGCCATATCGTGGCTGGTCTAATTGTCCACTGTGTTCAGACTGCCAAAGTAGCTGAGGTCATCTCAAGTTTCATGTAATCGCTAATTTATAAACAGGGATGGGAAGAATACTTAAATATATGTATGTGTGTGTGTGTGTGTATATATATATATATATATATATATATATATATATATATATATATATATATAGTTACAGAATAGTACATACCCAACAGCTTGATTTTTTTTTGTTTCATTTTTATTCATTATGCATTCATTATTATTTATTATGCATTGATTTATGTCTAATTCAAAAAAAAAATTCAACATTTTGGTCAAAGCCAAAATTGCATGATGAAGAACTGTCATGTATTCCTTTGATTTTAGTAAAGTAACTCTGAATATCACCAAATGAATATGTAACTATACCAGAATACAGTTAGTCCAAATGAGTATACAGAATATATATTTTCTTATATATTTTCTTTACATGTATTCAGTTACTTCCCAACACTGTTTATAATTTTTTTTTCCAGAAATAATTTATAATACATATAAAGATGACTTGCATAGCGTGTCTCACAACCACACTACTATATACAGCTATAGTTGGGGTGAGAGGTCCCCATGGATGACTTCAGCTGGGGGTGTGGGCATCTGGCAGACCCTGGATGCTGTGATTATGTGTTATGATGCAGATTTGCACTTCACAGCCACAGAGCCATCTTGTGCAAAGTTTGAGCACTGAGGTGGGAGTTAGTTTGTGTGGCTTCTTACCGTTCTCCACGTTGGCGAGGCGATGCATGAGTGGTAACCAGACCAGACACTGAGGGGGCGGGTCTGACATCAGTGTATCCAGGAATGTGTTGAGGGAGACTTTTTTCTGCACAAACAAGGGAAAAGTTGAGATGGATTGAAGATTATGAAGCACTTACTCATTGGGATAGACTGTAAAGTAATAAAAACAATCTCTCCTCTTCTGTCTCTTTCACTTTTTCTCTTTCTTCCTCACTCTCTGCCCCTTTCTCTCTCCCTCTCTCTCTCTTTGTCTCTGTCTCATTTTTCTCTTTCTCTCTCTCCCTCTCTCTTTGTTTCTCTTTTTCTCTCTCCCTTGCTCGCTCTCTCCCCTGCTTGCTCTCTCCCCCTCTCTCTCTTTACCTCTATCTCACTTTTCTCTTTCTCTCTCTCCCTCGCTCTTTGTCTCTTTCTCTCACCCTTGCCCCTTGCTCTCTTTCTCCCCTGCTTGCTCTCTCCCATTCTCACTCCCTCTCTGCCTCTCTCTCTTTGTCTTTTCCCCTCGCTCTCTGTATCCCTCCTTCTCTCTGTCTCTTTCTCTCTCTCCCTTTCTCTTGCCATCTTTCTCTATCTCTCTCTCCCTCTCCCCATTTCACTCTCTCTCTCTCTCTCTCTCTCTCTCTTTCTTTCTTTCTCTTGCTAAATGTATTATGTTAAAAGAGTATTTCTCTCACTTTTTTTCCTTGAGGTCATCTCCCCAGAAAACTGTACTGGTAACAAATTTTCAAATTTCTATGAATAACATTATTAGAATAGATGGTCATGCTGCTAACTATTGAAAAATAACACATAACAATGTTTTTTTAATTAAAAAGTAGATAAATAGTTGAAGCATCAGTGGTTACTTTCACGAGGACAAGAGGGAATATGTTGCAGAAAGCATGGAAATTGACTGGGCTCTTATCCTTAAATGCTTTTAAATCTACGATGAAAGCATTAGAGACTGACTCAATAATAGACATCTGTTTTTCCTACTCTCAAATCATTTTATTGTTGTTTGTATGTATGTTGACTATGTGCTGAACTGCTTGTCTTGGACAGGACTCCTTTAAAAAGAGGTTTTTAATCTCAAAGGGATTTTAAAATAAATGTTAAATAAATAAAATATGTTCCTTTACGTCCCACACTGGGACCTTATATTTTCCACTAGATCCCCTATTTGTGAGTGGGCCAAAATTCCCAGAAATGTTTCACTGGATTCACCAAAATTAAAGATTAGTTCATGTAATTTAAGAAGGGAATATACAGCCCCAAATCAGGTTTTTGGCTTTTCAAATTGTACCAAGTGTGAAGCATGCCAAAACAGTAAACTAAAAGAGCCCCATTTGTTTTCCTAAATCAATAATACAATATTACTTCTCCTAAAATGGTATGAGGAGGTCGAGAGGCAGTTCATTTTTAAAATACTGATCTTTCACAATTGATTCTATGTCCATCCAATTGCACCCATATAATGCCATTTGTGTCCATTTGTTCCTCCCAGGAAATGCTGCTCAAATCCACAGGGACCTTGCTAAATAAATTACCACAGAACAATACACGTGCATGTCAAGAGAGGCACAGAATTTTTAACTGATCTATTCACCTTAGTCATTCTGGTGGGGCTGCAGATCTTAACAGCAAGTAAGACCTATACGGACTACAAAGCTATGTAAAGTCTCCTAGAGACTTGATGCATTGTTGACCTGTTGGTGGAAATGAACATTGAACATTTTACACAAATCAGTCTACTTTATTTTATTTTTCAGCAGTGACATTTTTCTCAAATCCTCCATGTATCCTCCTGAGACCCGGCCCACTCATTTGTGTCCTTTACAGTGGACATTTTGTTAACTAGTCTATTTTTTAAGTGTTTTGAGATAGACACTTAATTCCTGTACTCTGTAGAGCACGCCAAGGGCTTTCTGCTGATGTGTGATTTGTTTGGCTGGAACTTTTGGAACCGCCTTTTCCTTTCGATCCAAAATGGCCGATATTCAAAATGGTACATTTTATGGTACAAGGAAAAGAAAATCAAATATCTTTATTTATACCTTTTTTCACATGCATTTGTATTTCTAGCATAGCATCTAGTAGCATTTTTAAAATAATTTTAATGTTTGTGTCTTAAAATAATAACCAATTTTATATGATCATTATAATGGACGCTGGGACAATTGTGTTGTATTTGATGGAACTTCTTTTTGTAGTTGACAGAACTGAAACAGAAGGATTTCTGCTCTGAATTACTGAGGGAGATATTGATTCTGACTTTTTGGATGACGAGAAAAATGAGGAGCACATCAGTCTGAGGCTTAGAGAAGTTTCAGAACACTTTCAGAAGTGTGTTTTTAAACCTCATACACCTTCATTAGAACCATTTGGGTAATTTTAGACTTGGAATTGCCAGTCTCAACAGAATTAAAGGTAAAAGGTAACTGTTAACTTGAAAACTACTGCTTCATGACATCACCAGGTAGAACAGGGCATTTTGAGCTTTGGCAATGTAGAGAGACTAATAATAAAGGGTTACTCAAACATGTGTGAATGAAACAAAACTCTACTCTCTGGGTATGTTTTTGTTGCGGTAACAACATTATAACATAGCTTAAAGCTCACAAAATTAAATTTTGCCTAATACAGGACTTAAAAAATAGTGGTGTGTAGGGTGAGGTGGAATAAGCTCTATTACAAAGTCAAATCTTCCAAATTTACCTGTTGAGTAAAACATGTTCTAGCAGCTTGCTCAGTGTATCCAAATGACGGTCCTTCAAAAACAGCCATTGGTAACTTCAGCACCTCCCTCAGAAACTGGTCAAACTGTAAGTGCACCATGATTCCAGCCGAATCTGACAACTGTGAAAAAATATCTGGGAAGAACACAGGGAGATATAACAAACCAACTAATTGTAAGTTGCCACCACAGTCAACTAATTACAGTATAATACAATACAATTATCCAACTTGCGAAAACACATCAATGAAAGCTGTTATTCCAATCATTTGTTGTGATACTGCTGGCATGGTGCAACTCCCACAGACTTAGCAGATTATGTAATAAGGGCTATCTTGAGATAATGAAAAATGACTTCTTCCAGCCGCAAGCAGCCAGGCCTGTTCTCATTTTAAGGACGCTGCACAGATACAGCCCTTTAGCAGAACATAAGAAATAGGGGTGTACAAAAATATGAAAATATAGATATATTGTGATACTAAATTTGGTGATACAGAATTGTTATCGTGGCTGATGTACCAGTATATCGCCAAGAGTATTCTTTGGTAACGTTTAGCAATTTTTTTGTGACCACACTACAGTTTTGTTGATCATTTGATGAAAGGAACATTTTTTATGCAATACACTTGACATATTCACTGTTTTGATGCTTAAAATAGTTGCATTTCATATTAACTTAGCACAAGAAATGGCTTAACAAAGAAACATTATTACTAAAATGTATTTTACTCTTACAAAACAGCAACATATCAGAGTGTCATGTGCAATATATCGATTATCGCATGTATCGCCATATCATGATAACATCATTATCATGAGCCATTTATCGTGTATTGTATTGTGAGGGACCCTGTGATACCCAGCCTTAATAAGATATAGGTTCAGCAATTGTGAAATTACCGTTTGGATATTTCATGTACAATGTAAGGTGGATATTTTCAAATACAATGTAATCAATAGAGAAAACTGGCCCTTGTTCCCCATCTGGGAGTAATATGAAAACTATCAGTTATTTTATTTGAATTTATAAGATATATATGGCACAACAACAGAACGGAGGCTTGACGTGATTAAATTAGTTGATTTGGTGTTTTTTGGAATTTATATGTAAAAAGGCCGATTAAACTCATGATTCAGACATTTAATCTGTTTCCCAGTATGGATAGTTGTTTTTGAATGAACTCCTTTGCAAGTGTGGGCTTGTGAGTACGATTTGGATCAGACACATAGAGATACATAAAAGTTTTGAGAGGCACGCTCCCTTTTTTAGTCAGCTAATCGATCGGCAGGATATGTCTTTAGTTGACCAAGAATTTCTTTAGTCGGCTACAACTTCAATGGAAACAATAGAGATAATTACTGAGATAATTATTGGGTTTAGCAGATAATATTTTTTTATTTTATTTTTCATAATTAACAGTCAAATTTCTTACATCTTAATTTGTCCAGGATTTTCCCTCCACACATGGTTGCCAGGGCCGTCTTTACCACAAAGACAGAAATCTTGCCATGGCCCTCCCTAAAGAAAGCAAAAGCAAGTTACATTACAGCCATTGATCTCCCTATCTTCCCATCCTGTCTCCTTTGTCCAATTGTCATTAATGCCTGTCCCCTAACCGCAGCAGGCCCTTTAAGATGGCCACTTTCACTTAGCATTGGTCTGTCCATGGTTTGACACAGCTAAAGGTCAATAGTTCAACTCTCCATTGTCTCACTAAGAGGAATTTCTTATTAAGGGAAAGCTTTGACCGGAGATATTAGGACTAAAGGAGCTGTATATGCAAAGTTCATTTGTCAGGACACAGAATCTTTTCCACATAGCAAATCTACTCACTTCCTACGTTACCTTATTTAGAAAGGTTTAAGAGTCATGTACTGTTCTTTCTAAACTGGGGTTACAGTTTTGGGAACCACAATATAGTTAAGACAGACAACGAAATGAAAGACCAGTAGTTTGGGCATATTTTTGGACTAAACTTAAAAGGCCCATATTATGCTATTTTCTGATCTATGTTATAATGTTTCCACATCCTAAAACAAACCTGGAGTTGTGTTTTGTTTAATTCACACATGTTTAACACACAAACCCCACATATTTAGGCTGGGTTCTTCTCTCAAACAGAAATATTCAGTTCCACCTTGTGATGTCATGTCGTAATAATACAGGAAGTGGTCCACTGTGTTTTTAAACTCTATACACCTTCACCAGAATCATAATTCCAGCCATGGAATTGCCAATTTCTACTGAACTAAATGCAAAAGAAGAAATTCAATTTGTCAACTGGACAAAAGATTATTTTGGTCATCCAAGCTGTTTCTTCAGTTCTGACTGATGAAGCTTGGATAAGATACAAAAGGTATTCAACCAAAATAAACTTCTGGCCATTTGACAAATTGAATTCTCATGGATTCTTCTTGGACGACTGAGGGATTATACACACATACTGAATTAAAGGTAAAAAGTAGCTGTTAACTTGAAGACTAATGTGCAAATGCCCTCTCGGAGAAGATATGTCACCCCACAACAAAAGACCAACCACTACACTAAATCTTTTATTCCTTCTGCCATAAAGCTTTTAAATGGAAAGTAAATCTGCTATTGTGTCCCTGGTGCACTGAGATTTGAATGTATGGCGTGTTGTATGTATTTAATATTCTTTTTTTTTTCTTTTTTTTTTTCTCTTTTATTTATTTATGGATTGTGCACGACCAGAGATGTGCAAACTGAATTTCCCTTTGGGATTAATACAATTGTTGATTGACTGATTGATAACTGCCATAATATGACATATCAAGGTGGAACAGAGCATTTTGAGCGTATAGGCATTTTGAGAGACAGATTAATAATAAAGGATTGCTTAAGCATGTATGAATGAAACAAAACACAACTCTAGGTATATTTTGATAACATAACAACATTATAACATGGCTTAAAGCTCACAAGAATCAATTTTGCATAATATAGAACCTTTAACAGGTCAGTGATGGTAATGACTCTACCAAGCGTGTATTTTATTTCCAGTACATACCATGTTATTTACAGTCTATGTATCAACTCACACTGAATTAGCTCAGGTCACAAACTCAGGCGCTACAAAACACAGGTGGTCGCTAGCATCATGTGTTCAGTTACTCACGGGTCGTATGCAGCCAGCAGAAAGTTGAGCAGAAGACCAATACACTGGTCCACCCCGATCTGGTGTGTGGTGGGCATGCGCTTGTTCAGCTGGTAAAACATGGTGGACAGGACCACTTCCAGACGAGCCACACTCAGCTCTGCATTCGTTTCCATGGAGTTGAGTCCACTCTCTCGGAAAGCCTCAATGACGTTCCAAATGTCAACCAAGTGCACTACAACACACATGGCAGACAGTTAAAGGACCTGTATTATGTTATTTTCTGATCTATGTTATAATCTTGTTTCCTCATCAAAAACAGACCTGGAGTTGTGTTTTGTTTCATTCAGGCATGTTTAGCACACTAACCCTGCATATCTAGGATGAGTTCTTCTCTCAAATAGAAAACACACTGTTCTACTTTGTGATGTCATGTGGTAATACAGGGAGTGCTCGACTGTGTTTTTAAACTTTATACACCTGCACTATTCTCTATTCATTTGGATGATTTTTACCCTGGAATTGCCAGTCTCTACAGAACTAAAAAAACTTAAACAGTAGCTGTTAACTTGAAATCTCACCACCTGACATCACAAGGTGGAATAGAGAATTTTGAGCTTTGGAGATGTAAACAGACAAATAATAAGAAACTCTTTATTATTAGTCTAGTCAAACACATGTGAATGAAACAAAACTCCAGAAATGTTTTTAATGAGGTAACAGCATTATAACATGGATTAAAGCTCACATGAGTCAATTTTGCTTAATACTGGACCTTTAATTGTTTTGGCTTTGCTGTACTGTCATATACTTACAATTGCATTTCTTCTGAACAAATCGCAGTTTGCAGGCTGTTCTGTAAGTTGATAACCGAATGGAATCCAGATCTTGAGCCCCTAGGGAACATTTTTATACATTTATTATTGAATAAGGTCAGAAAATACAACTCCAAAAGGTCAGTTATATTTTTTTATAGTTCTCGTCCAATTAGTTGACCGCCTGCTGCTTTCCTGAGAATAAGCAGTGGTGCAATCAAAGAAGCAATATAAAGTACTATATGTAGTTATCATGCTAATTGTAATTGTAATTTATGTTTTTTTCTTAGTTTTTTTGCTTCTTTGCAAGCTATTTATAACTTTAAAGGTGCACTGTGTAACTTTTTTGGTCTGGTTTATTAACTGTTTGTCTCCATTATTGATTTGCCTAGAATGTTACATAGTATAATATTAAATATCTATCTAACATTTATTTCATTAAATTTTTTTTATTGAAAAAATCTTTAAAACCTAGGTTCTACTGTTACTGGAGTTGCCTCTTCACAGATCAGACCTGTAACTTCACAGATCAGACCTGTAACATGATATAAATATATGTATCTCCATGGAGATACATATATTTATTATCATATTGCAGTAGAACATTTCAGCCCAAAGCAATAACATCTCCATAAATACAAACAGGAGGTAGACCTTCTACAGTTACACAGTACACTTTTTATAAATAATGAAAGTACTGTCTTATCAAAGATATATTTCCAAAAAAAAAAAAAATTTAAGTATCTAAAATGTACCTGGGCATATTCTTAAACAGTTACAATGAATCTTCCTATATGCTTTACAGTGAGGTCTCAAACTCATACCTGGAGTTGTGTTTTTTGTTTCATTCACACGTTTAACACACAAATCCTGCATATTTAGGCTGAGTTCTTCCCTCAAACTGAAAGCACTCCACCTTGTGATGTCATGTGGCAATAATATCTGTACTGAACAAATGGTAAAAAATAGCTGTTAACTTGAGAATTACAATTTCATATCATCACAAGGTGGAACAGAACATTTTAAGCTTTGGAGATATAAACAAACTAATAATGCAGGATTACTTAAACGTGTGAATGAAACAAACAGAATTCATGTTTCTGCGGAGGTAACAACATTATAACATGGCGTAAATCCATTTTGCATAATATAGGACCTTTAATAAATAATTAAATCACTCTCTGTCTATCTATCTATCTATCTATCTATCTATCTATCTATCTATCTATCAATCTACATATCCTTACTCAGATACAATGAATCTTCCTATATGCTTTACAAGGTCTTAATATGGTGGTAGTTGTATTTTTATGTTAGGTGAATAAAAGTGTCCGGTGTATATCAAACTGAAGTGTGATCCTGAGCACTTACTCATCTCCACAAACAGTTGCCGTCTGTCTGCCATGTTGTCACTGCTCGGCCTGTGGTCCTCAATCATTCTGATGGAGAGGAGAGAAAGACTGTCATTATATGTACATCGATACTTACTAACTGACTCACTCTTCACTCATCACTGGGACATTAAGGAGAAATACTGTTAAACAATGGAGAGATGCGTAACACTTAGACCTGTCACGATAAAAAATTTTGATATGCGATATATTGATGGAGTAAATATATACGATAAATGATCATATTTAAACTAATTATGACACTGACACAATAACCCTAAAGCATGCAGGATTACGCCCAAAAATGATCCTAAATGTACAATGTTGTTAAAAATCATGAGCTGTAGTAAATACATAGCAGACTGTTATCTATAATGAGACACAGAAGTGATTTTTTACGGCTTAAATTTGATCATTTAGCCAAAAAATTACCCCAAATTTTCCCAATAATGCTAAGAAAATGTACACACGCTAAATATTGATCTCCAAAAAATATTGTTCCAGCTTTTATATATTGAACAATAAGTCGATATAGTAGTTATCGTGACATTTAAAATAGTGCCAGTGCCTCATCACCTTTTTATTGTCAAAATATTTTTTGTACTTCACAACTTCACATTAACTATAAACCTGCATTACACAGTATTTTTAAAATCCTAAATAGCATTACAAACTACAGATAGCAGATATGTGCACTTTTTAGCATATCAGCCTTAAATCTCCAGCACAGGATGAGATTTTATTTTGGCCGCTAAAAATGCTCTTTATTTGAACACTTGAGTATGAAGAGATAACTGCACAAAATGAGAATCTCTATTGAAAACATGTACAAAAAACTGGTAAAAACAGGATTAAAGGTCCTATATTATGCAAAATTGACTTAAGTGAGCTTTAAGCCATGTTATAATGTTGTTACCACCTCAAAAACATACCTAGAGTTGTGTTTCTTTTGATTCACACATCTCAAACTGTTCTGTTCCACCTTGTGATGTCATGTAGTAGTAGTTTTCAAGTTAACAGTTACTTTTTACCTTTAGTTCAGTAAAGAATGTCAGTTCGAAAGCTGAATTTACCCAAATGATTCTAGTGAAAGTGTGAAGGTGGAGTTTAAAAACAGAGTGGAGCACTTCTTGTATCACCACATGATATCACAAGGTGGAACAGAGTGTTTTCTGTTTGAGAAGAACTCAGGTTTTGTGTGTTAAACATGTGTGAATGGAACAAAACACAACTACAGGTATGTTTTTGATGAGGAACAAAGATTACAACATAGATCAGAAAACAGCGTAATATGGCTCTTTTAATAGTCAAATAAATGAATCCTGACATGGTTTCTAGAAGAGAGACAAACATTGAGCATATTCAAGTATATTCAAAGCTGAAATGAGTTACATGAAAACTTAAGAATGAAGGGTTAGACTCTGAAAAGGCCAGTGCAGGCAAGAGAACTCTCACCATGCCTCACTGCACACTGTCCAAGGCAATCTAATACACCTAGTCATGTGGTTTGTTTCCATGGCAGCAAAGATTCTCGTCGCTCAGTTCGTAAAAACATAATGACCCCCCCCTCCACACACCCAGTCCGGCTGCCCACACCTACCACCCCGGACAGTCAAAGTTTGGACACAAAAACTTTTACACAAACAGATTAGTGCCAGTTTGAAGTAAAGTAGTTCCAAATAATCATTCACCTGTGGTATTTTATATGGCAGTAATTGGCAGGATGTACTCAAATATTGTGAAGTGAAAAGGATTAATACAAACTGATTAATTGGTATAATGGTGGGAAACATTAAGATGGTGTATGAGCGAAATTGTTGATAGTGTTAATTTTTTTATACAGTAAATATTTCGCTATTAGAGATACCAGCACATGTAGCACACATTAGCAAACACTGACAAAGAAAAGTTTTAAGATAGTCTGAAAACTCAAGCAAAAAGACAAAATTGATTTAAACAACATATTTTAGGAGCCTGTGATTAATACGAGCGTTCATCGTCCTATTTAGGTGTTTGATTTTCAACAAAAAGGTGAGAAAGAGTAACTAAAAAACTGTTGGCTAATGCTAGCTAGCCTGTGACTAATTTTATGTGTGAGAGATTTGTTGAACAGCAAAAATCATCTCACCTGTTGTAGTTCCAACTAAACCAGCTCTTGCTTTCTTTCTTCAAATTGCGTTAAAATAAAACTTACATTCTAACTTGAGTAACAGAGCTTTTAACAGAGTAGTGCTTTCAGTTAGCATCACACCCCCAAGGAAAGTTGATGACATCAGCTGCAAAGAATCAATATGCAGACCGATTTTTAATTCACCAATATTTTATAATAATACAGTATTTCCCTGAGACTATGGGGCACAAGCAAACCATATTTAAATAATTTTATTCAATACAATATATGGAGAATAATGTGACTTTTTGGCTCTGTTGATAAAAAATGACCAAATGCAGATTAATATACTTAGTTCTATATGTTTAAGACAATACTAAAGGCATCAAGTGTAATTATTTTTTGTTCAAATTATTTTTACAAAAATTTGACCATAGTCTCCTTAATGAAAACACTGGAATGCAAATCTTGTCTTATGTTCCTACCAGATTGTGCTGAATTAGAAGAGACATTCATTATAGTGTAGCAAACAAAAGAGGTTTGCATAAAAAGTGTACAATACCTGGTCAGCAAAAAAAGAAAAGAAAAGGAAAACAGCCTTTTGGTTTATTTTTTACAAACACAATGTTGTAATATTTCAGTATAAGGCCACTGATAAACATGTAAAAAGCTATCATATCATTAAAATAACTAAATGTTGTAATAATTAAATATAAGGCTTCTGATAAATAACAGAAGAAAGGGTTTTACACATAAAAGGGATACAGGATCCAGATCCAGAAAAATTAGCAGGTTCAGTCAATATCCTGGTTAGACTCTTTGCTGTCTGGTGTAGACCCAATTTATACAAAGTAGTTACTTGGAGGATACATAACAGTTACATAACACAACCAGATAAATTTTGTATTACGTTAACTGTATTTTGAGAGGGAAAAAAAAAGTTTAATCCCTGCACAGCTATCGGTTAATACTGGATATCTGCAGATACTTAAGAAGTCATAGTATCAATATGGGTATCTGAACTGAAAAACCTGGATCAGTGCATCTCTAGGACATAACTGAATATATGTTTACAAACACGCACAAGTACTGTTTTATAGATTCACACCGACACCCTTCCCACTCATCCGAGGCAAACACGCGCTGAGTGCCAGCTATGTGACCTTCGGCTCTTTGTTTTCATAATCTCCAATAACTAAGAATGATACAATCCTTTTACCATAGGAGGCCATATTAAACCACATAAAAATTGTGCACCTTGGCTCCCACATACTGGCGTGAGCTAGGCAAATCCTCCCTATTAACCATAATGCCACACGACTATTAAAAGAAACTATCACCCAACAAAAACACCAATAATTAAGTCTGTCAGTCGAAATATGAACTTGAACGCTGTCACCTCAGATACAGTCTGGACTGGCTCTATCTTTAACTACAAATGTGAAGGCCCCACATTCTTGTCCAGATTTACACGCGCTCTAGTTGCAGACCCCAAACTCCATTCCTGGCAAGTGCCCAGCAAACATCACTTTTCCTTTGTGGCATGTTGGCATGTCATGATAACACATTTTTCTGTCAGTTATATTGCTGCTATAAATATCATGATAAACAAAAACACTGAAAGTGCTGCAAACCACTTGTCCCTTGTCACTGGCAAAGTTACATTACAGGTATTATTTCACACAAATTTGACTCTTGTGAGCTTTGAAACATGTTATAATGTTAAATCTCTACTGAACAAAAGGTAAAAAGTAGCTGTTAACTTGAAATATCATAACTGAGCATTTTAAGATCTAGAGATGTAAACAGACTAATAATGCTGGATTATTCAAACATGTGTTAATGAAACAAAACACAACTCCAGGTATGTTTCTGATGAGGTAACAACATTCTAACATGGCTTAAAAGCGCACGAGTCAATTTTGTGTAAGATACTGTAGGAACTTTAATGCTCCTGGAGTTCTTTACAATGTACACTCTGAACAAAATCCTACCATGTAGCCCTAATAAACAACAAACCCAAAATATATTGTTCCACCTATCATTTATTGAACTTTATCGAAGTAAATATAGTAGTAATTATCATGAAAGGCCAAAGCTGCATGGTCTTGTGAATAGAAAATAACTTAGATCTACAATCAAATGACACTGCTCACTTTGCAGAAGATGGATCGATCTGACTTGTGCCAAGGCCAAAGCAAATGTTATGACTCACTCCATCTTTGTAAGTCAGCTTTTCTTCTTTACAATGAACAAATGTCATAATGCTACTGCTACCTTTCTCCTATACAACTAGGCCTGTCATGATAACAACTTTTGAAGTATGATATATATGGCTGAAGTAAATATAGACAATAGAATTAACAATAATAATTTATGCCAGATTTAAACCTCAAAACCTAACCTTCCTTCCAATTTCTTTATAGTCAAATTATTATTATTATTTTAACCTAAAGTATCTTAATCTTGTTTTTATGTGCTATACAAATTTAATTTTACTTGCCTTGACTAATCTAAATCTACAATAATGTTAAAAAAAAACATGAGCTGCAATAAATAAACAGCAGAATTGAACAGTTTTTAGTTAGTTTTAGTGCATCTGTAATGACTCATAAAATGTAAAATTTTACAGCTCATATTGTATCATAATGCCAAAAGATAACCAAAAACTTCCCAGTAATGTGAAGAAACTATACACAAGACACACTGACCCCCCAAAAATATCATTCCATCTTTCGTACATTGAACGGCAAGTCTATATAATATTTATCGTGACAGGCCTGTGTACAAATGTCATTGTAATGCTACCTTTGCCCTACAACGCTATGACATAGTGGACATGGGAGGGTGATGCATGTCCTTCTAGACGCTCTCTGGAGTCGGGAACAGATTGTCATTTAACATTTGCAAACACAAGCACTTACTTGAATTACAGTGCAATCTGCATACGCCTGGCCCGCTACACTACTCAGCAGCTGTTGGCAGTGATTGGCGCAGGTTATTTTTACATCACGAGACTATAAACAAGACTGGCATGTGAATCTCGGGCCCCTGACAGGAATAAAAAAAAACAAAAAAAAAAATGCAGTGTGAAGTTTAAAGTTAATGAGTAAAGCTTAGTTGTTGTAGGGCATGTGTTGTGGGGTATGTTTGTACTTCCTCTTAGTTATATCTCTAGTCTGTGCTGTCTGCAGTCAATGTTTCCAGTTCATTGCCATGGTTTCGGTTGCAAAAAGGCCAATACTGTGAAGGTCTGATGTTAAATGAGGACTTGGGAGACATATTTACTGTTACAAGTGCTTACGATTTACTATGAGACTGTTGTTAAACTGCTATGGACACTTCAGGGGATAAAATACGTTACAGCAAGACAATACAAGTAGCCTATGAGACAAATAGTTACAAAGAATACAAGGGAGACTACAAGGACGTCTATGAAATTATGACTGGTCTGGTGTATTACAATTTAAAATAACTGTTTTCAGACATCATTGATTAGGTATGATCAGATCAGAATACTGATTGATTAGGTGTACATAAGTGTCCAGACTGTCTCATCTTAATAATAAAACCTATTTAATGTTAATAACTCAGCTATAACAAGAAGTCAATTCTAAATAAATAGACAAAATAATCATATCCTATAGGGAAAATTATGAAAAATTTTATATTGACAAAGTTGCACACAAAAAGTCGACCTACAAATTACCAACTGTTTGGAACTATAGTGAAAGAGGCAACAGGCACCTCATGGTACCAGCTCTGCTCTGGCATCACCTGCCCCTCACAGAGACACCTGTGTGGCAGACAGACAAAGCGCTCGCTGTTACAGAATAATAACATAAACCTGCCCGCAGAAACCACGACTCCTGTTTTTACTATCACCTCACGTTAAAGCTTTTATAAGCGTAACTCGATCACTAAACTCATTTTCTCCACACTGACAAAGTAGGTTAAGGTCGCCAGCCTCCAGAGCAGCTGCAGTAGTGTTGTAAGCGCACTTGCAGAAGACTTACCAGAATTTATTCCGAGGTTTGTCATGCAACATATCTGGGTTTTTCCTTTCCGTCCCAGAATCAGACGGCTCCTCCAAAGCCGACAGTGTGATCAGGATGTCTTTGGTGTTCGCTGCTGCATCGTGTCGCGCTCCTACAAAGCCTGGTGTTGTGGAAATTTTCGGGTAGCGCACTGAGCAGAGCAGCCTCAATCTGCCTCCAGTGTGTGGCCTTTGAGGTGACGTAATGCGGAGACTGTTCACTTGCGTCAGTCCGCATCGGCTGCAAAATGACAAAAAAAAAAAAGGAAAAAAAAAAAAAAAAGAGGGGGGGGAACTTTGAGCACAACAGAAAATAAAAACACATGCCTTTGAAGCAACTGTGCTCTGTTTATTGCTATAAATAAGGATTACAAAGAATGCGTGGTTATTCTGTAATAATACGAGTACAGGTGAATCATGTGGATTTATATGTCGATTGTAGACGACATATAAATCACTTCTGTCCGAACGCTCATGACCTCATAAATGGACATGAGTTTTTGGACAAAATATTAGCCTACTGAAATGTTAAGAAATTGTAGGCTGTAACATTACCTCATAGGCCAACATGTCAGCATAAAACGGAATTCCGCGTGATAAACACTCCGTTCCAATGGTGGACTATGCAATGTACCACAAACAAAAAATGCTTTACCTAAATCAACTACATAGAAAAATCAAGTAAACAAATGTTACTGACAAGACAAAGAGCCTAGTGACCGGGGCTTAAAAGTGCATATCCACTGGTTTCAAATGGTGAAATATTAGGACTGTTGCCATAGTAATTAACAATTTCATAGAAAATAATGATGTAAGTATATAAAAATATTATATCTTCATATTTTCATCATAAATTATCACATGAATTGCTTACAAACAGCTTGTTCACAGAGTTGTACCGTATGGTTTATTTGAGTTTGATTAAAAGGGCCCGAGAAGAAAGTAATGTAATTATTTGTAGCTAATGTCTTCTTTTTAATTGCCTACATTTTGGGAATATTACCTCTGCACTACTACAGATGGCAGTCTTTCCCAGTGCCCCTGAACGCACCTCTGCAGTCACGGCGCACGAGCACAGCCCCTTGTTGCCTGGCGACCACCTCTGCAGATTGACAGGGACTTTAGTTTGATTCATTCGTGAAAAACTTTTTCAAAAGGCGCTTTTTTCAAGGACCACGTGGACTTTTTCCACAAGAAAGAGGTCGTTGGTTAAAGTCCAGAAATAAACAAAAGTCAATGTCAATCAAAGGTACACTATAGAAGTAAGTTGATAGCCTGCTATTTTTCGCTTTCACTTTCCTCCATGACAACGACCCCCTTTAGCTCATTAATATGTTATAAGCGAAGTTAATTAAACGTGAACTTGTCCACCGCCAAAGGAACATCCGCAGATGAGTGAAAGTCTCAGCTCCAGGTCCAGAAAGGTAAGTAAGCAAACTTTACCATCTAAAATGGTGGCTTTGAGAAGAGTTTAAACTTTGGAGCGGGAGTCAGGGTGTATTTTCAGATATGAAAATGGTATTGTAATGGTAATGAAGTGAAATTACGCACTGCTGATGCTTTTTAACGTTGTGTTTTAGACTTGGAAAAGTGGAGATTATTAAAGCGCTGAACGGTCTCACAATGCCAGATATTGAACCGCTCAGATTTCCGTCAAGAGAAGAGAGACGACCTCCACAAACAAGTTAAATGTTATCTCTTACCATTTCACTTTGACCTTTTTATTAAGCTCCTTGTAACGTTAAATAGCCTAATATTATAAGCAAAATCTGCGTATTTTTCTGTATCGCAGTGGATAAATATATATTTTTATAAAGCCACAAGGAAGATTTTAAAATAGACTTACTTACATAATACCGAAACTTAACGATTCTAGTCTGTTCTGTTTTTTGAAGCAGGTCCATATCTGGTCACATGGTGGCGCACTTCACAAGGCGCATGCCAAACAGGCCTATACTTAAGTGTACATGAAAAGTTTGATGCGCTATGCAAAGATTTAGCCATCTTTGACAAGTTAGTTTAAATGACAAGCAATGAAAAAATGTATATGGATTTACAATGGCTATAGCATTACATGTTTAGAATAAATATACCATTGTACGCTGCAAAAATCAGCAATACCAGACATGCAAAGAGAAAAATAAATGAAAGACATTTAAATTCATAGTCGTGATCCTGTTAGCCGTATGCATATAGTATAAAACGTGTTTGTTTTTCACTTTTGAAAAGTTGTTGCTGTCGCACGTGTGCTTTTTAACATTTGCCAGCCAGATGGCGTCATTCCACCACCAAGAATGATACCCTTGGGCTTGTCTTGAAATGTTCAAATTAGTGCTCTGCTTTCTCACTGATGCTTTCAATAAATTGCAATATGCAGAGAATCACAAACATATTTTTACAGCCAAATGAGTTTTAGTAATTACTTTGCTAAATAAAATGAAAAAGTAAAGCTTTAGCTTGTTCCAACTAATGCTCATTCTGTTTCACAGTACTGTATGTATGCCTTGTCAGACAGCAGCTTCTGTCTTTTATCAGACAAGTGCAGTGAAGGGCATTTTCTATCTACATTTTTGCAAGTTTTGATTGTTTTGCCTTTGAAGATCAAGTTGATCTCCAGGGAGCCTGCTCTGGTCGGCGTCGTACTTGTGCTCTGCTCAACAGCCCCCTGCCATGTGTGAGCAGTGCTATTCAACACATTCAAGAGCTGAGAGCCAAAGTGGACAAATGTTTTGAACAGGTAAGCCAGTAATACCCTGAACATCATAGAGTTAAAACTTTATATGAAAACATGTCCATTTACATTTATCTAATGACCACTTCTTCTTATAAGCCTGGGAAGTATCATCCCCAAATGGACCTGGACAAGCACCCATATGGTCAAACTCTACGGTTTGTGCACTCAATATAACTGTTCATATTTTCTGTTTGAAGTCCAGCTCTTAATGTTTATCACTTTTTTCACAGATTTCAACCTGGAGATTCGGATTCTGACTCAGTCATGTCTACAGAGTTAGTAATTGAAGGCATTGGATTAACACCAAGAGGTGCATTTATAACTGACTAATTGTTTTTTAACTGATCAAAAACAAAGTAATTGTATTTAATTAACTTGTTTGAGTGTCTAGAAAGCTCCTCATCATCACCACTACTCAAGAAAATAAATGATGTCCTCAGAGAGGTTGTGTATCTGATAGAGCGTCTGGAGGCAGATCGGCAGTATGCACAGGAAGCTCTGCTCGTTGAAAAGAAAAGAAAGAAGTTTTTGGAAAATAAATTTGACAGTATTTCTTTGTGGATGCAGAAGGAGCATTCATTTGTTGTCCAAAAAGGTCAGTGACAACAGCAATATGGAGAGGTCTATGGGGAATTCTCATCTGGAGGGCTGACAGTTCTTAATGGGTGCAGAGAAAATAACTATGTTTTTAGTATTCAATATTCTACATGTGTTAAGGCTACATTATGAATAATTGTCAATTCATCTTTTTTTCCTCCTATGGCTGTTGTGGGTGTGTCCAATCTATCAACTAATCATTTGGGGTGGTGAAGTACACCCAGTTTGTTGAGATTACACCCTCCACTTTTATATTCATCCAGTGTGGCCTGTTAATAATGGCTGAAATATGGTTTGGTTGTGTAAAAAGTACACAATAAAATGATGAGAGAAAATAGCCCCATATGTACCAGGACTGTAGTTATCAATTAATTGGTTGATGGTGTCTTAGTTGACCAAATTTGTTGTTAGTTGACTGACTTTTTTAAGAATTGATATGCACAACAGCAGAGAGGGCTAGAGAGGGAGAGTTAGCTGGGGTTTTGAGAGTGAGTGGACAGTTGAATCTGCCTTTTCACTTATGAAGATATTTACTCATACTTCTCTGTTTACATGGTAGTTTTTACATATTTTTATAGTTGACAGCACTTCTACTGGAGATAGTTAAATACTTTCTGGTTTCTTTTCAGAGCATGAGTCTTGCTTGAGAGACATCACAGAACTGAAATGGCAGCTCCGGTTGGAAAAGGACAAACTTGAGCAGCTCGAGGACAAACTGGCCCAGACTGAGATGAAAAAGCAGCGTTTACAAGAAGACATCAACTACTCCACAGAACAAATCCCCATAGTGAAGGACAATACGGACTACCAAAGGAGCCTTATACAAGAGATCAGTGCAGAACAAAAAGAGGTCACTACTTTAGACTTTTTGGACTGAAGTTTAGAATAGGCCTGACACGATTATGATTATTATATTGTAGGGATGAGACGAGACATGTGATGACATTTGATCCACGAGAGAAATAAGATGATATTTTTACATAATTTTTTCATAAATAATTTGTACCATTTATTTAATAAGTTTGGCTTCACAATTTATTTTTATTTAATTTTATAATTTTGCTGTCGTTGTAACACAGCTTTTAACAACTACGTCTTATCAAGAGAAGTTACTCAACAAAGTCTTTTTTATCCAAGGCAAATGTGAAAATATCATGAAAAAAAATCTTACAAGATATTTTTTTTTCATATGTGCACAATCACATGGCAATTTTGTCTCTTATGTCCCATCCCATCAATATATATATATATATAGAGCAATACATTTTGAGGATCAGTATTTATCATGGGGTCTTTTTCTTAGGACTAGCAAGGAACTTTTTGGTATTTTTCTGTGCTATCATCAGATTTGAACTGTGAAGAGAGAGTTGAATAAATAACTCATTATAGATACAATCTAACCACGAAAAGTGACAAATTCTGCTTTTTATTTATTTATTGCAGTTTGTGTTTTTGTAACTATATTGTGCATTTAGAATAGTTTTTGGGGCATGAATTAGTTTCAGTATTAACGTTCTTATCATTATTATTGTCTTCTATATTTTCTTCAGCAATGTTGTACTTTAAAATATGAATAAGAATGAGCTCTGTATATTGTTTTATATTTTATGTATTTTTTGATGTGACAGGCTGACTTATTGTGCTTGAAAAAACGTGCAATTCTGGCCATGGTTGAGAAAGAGTACAATGACACCAAGGATTTAGCTGAAAATGAGAGAAATTCCATGGAATTTGAGCTGTTGTCTATGAGAAATCAGCTGGCAAAGAGAAAGTGAGTATCAATATTGCTGTTTGATTGATTGTATAGCTGTCTTTTGCTCCTTTTATAATTGTGTTTAGGGAAGATTTAGTGCAGTTATTAGCAGAGCAAATGGAAGTTGATACCAACATAAGGGAAGCTAAAGAATCTCTGGCTCTAACCAAGGAAACATGCTCAACTACATGTGATAATATTACAAAGTTAACAGAAGTAGAGAAAACCTACAAAGATGAGGTAGCACACTATTGTATCATATGTTGTCAATATATTTATTTAGATACAGGTATAATATTTACTATTGTGTCCAATGCAGATTTCAAACATAAAAATCCAAAGTGAAGAAGAAATGAAAAAGAATGACAAGTTACAAAAGAAGATTCATTCACTAATGGAAGATATTGAGAAAACTGTAAGTATGGTGCTTATGTAGTTTGAGAAGTTTTAAAAGCTGAATCTAGGCTGGACAATACAAAAACACTGATCATGATTTTTGTTCTCATATTGATAATAAAGCCAAATATTAATTTACATAACAAAAGTTAACAGACTTTTAATCATTGCCATTTAACATTAAAAAAAAAAAACAGTCAAATTTCTTCCTCCAAAGTCTGAACACCCCAGACTACAGTATATGCTTTTACTAACTGGAGTTGCTGTAAACCTCTCAATTAAAATGACCCAACCATTTCACTGACCATTAGAAATGACTGGATCTTGCTCTAGATTAATTATACACCCCTAGCTAATTGACAAATTTGGTTTTGTATATTACCTTAAACAGCTTGACACTTCTGTTGTGCTGCATGGATTTTGAGTTCAGTTAACTGTAAGTGACATTAATGTAAGTACTGTATATTGTGTGTTTATAGAGACTTCATGGAGAGGCAGAAGTATCTAGCACCAAAGAACAGCTAGTTTCTGCTGGTAATGTTTTTAATGCTCTTTGGGAAGAAAACTTGGATAGTGAAGAAAAGGTAGAAGAGTACAAGACCAAAATTTCTGAAAGGTACAGCATAATCTAATTACTGACATGGCCCAGTGTTGTAGCTGCGTGATTAGAGCAGTTTTACTAAAATATCTTGTAAGTGTGTTTACTCTTTTGTGTTTTCTGTGTAATTCTCATCAGCAAGAACGCAGTGAAGCAGATGCGAGAGGAAAGGAAGCAGATGCTCCAGAAAATCATTGACAATGACGAGCAGTGGGAAAGGGCCAAGGAGGAAGTGACCCTGGTTGTTGCACAGCACTGTGCCACCCAGGCTAAGCTGGAAGAGCAGGAACAGCTCACCTTCATGGAAGAAGAAAAGGGCAGGGTCAGTGGAAACATATGTACAGCTTTTATGTATACAGCGCATGAGGCGCTCTCCAGAAGGAAACAGGCACTCCAGCTGCTCTGTGTCACTTACTGTCCTCTGTCCTTTTCATGCAGAAAGTTATCGAAAGCCTCAGGAAAGATCTGACTAGTCAGATAACTGCCCTGGAAAAAGCTCAAGGTACAAAAGGCTAATAAAAACATATAATTACTCAAATGTACTCAAAGACCCCAACATACAGAATCGTGAGAATTTGTTTGTCTATAAGAACTGGCTACATCTATATATTTATATTTCATTTCTATATATTATACTGATTTTGCAGAAATTTGTGTGTATGGAATTTTTTGTGTCATGGAATTTCTAATCATTTACATGTCAGCACTCTCTTACTCAACTTAATTTGTCATTTGTAAATCTTCATTAGGTTCAGTGTGCAAAGATCAAAGATGAAATGTATCACCATCAAAGAGCTGCCGAGCAAACCAACCTCAAACTTCAGAGAGAATTTGAGGAGGCTTTATCTGCAATGAAATTCTTAGAATTCAGTACTGGTGTATGTACCATCACTCCACATATAGATAAGTAATTTACAAGCAGCTCTAAAAATGCAGCTTATTTTTTTTTTGGTAATTTTTGTTTTGTTTTTAAAGAATTTTAAGGCATTGATTAGACAATTGGAAGACCTTGAGAGTGGTCACAGGAGAACTTTGGACAGCCTTAATAAAGAGAAAATTGCTAAACAAGGACAATTACAGGCTGCTAAGGTAAGAACAAATATCAAATCAAGTATATCAGTATGTATCTTGTGGGGACGTGGTTAATTCTCACTGAAGTGCAAAGCTATTAATGAACCATTAAGTGCATCACTTGAGTTTAATAAATGATCTGTTCTATTGATCCCAGGATTTACACACTGCTACAATAAAGAGATATGATAGCGCTGTGGACAGGACCAGTGAACTCACAAAGCAGAGTAAAGATTTCCACCAAGCTTCTGATCGGATGGAAACAGCATTGGAGACTATGCCGGCAGTCACTGAAGAGCTTGAGTAAGATTTTCTATTCTTTTTGTCACTAACTTTCACTGAGATGTGGAAAGCAATGGGACAAATGATGACTTATGCATTATTATTATGGCAGTTAAGTGTAAATAAATGCATAATGTACTATGTAACTGTGATACCATGGTAAATTTAAAAGAAAACCCAGCCGATTGCTCGATACCCCTTAATAGTTTTCTACAGTACTAAAGCATCTTGTACGACATTTGAATACCATTTGTAGTAAGTTATGGTACATTTCAGTTCACTATTTAATGTAGAGGAACTATCTCTCATATCTTTGCATTTTTTTTGCCTTCTTCCAGGAGTGTTTTTGCTGTGGTAGAATTCAAAAACAAATCAGCTGCTCTCATAATGAACACCTTGCAGTCTGATATTAATAACTGCTTACAACGAACACAGCGATCCATGCAGGTGCACACTGCTCATGTTACAGCAAGGAAAAAGAAAATGGAAGACACCGAGGTAACAAAATAACAACTTGACATTAGTGTTGTTCACTGTAAATCTGGCAACCCATGACTTTTCCTTTCAGACGCGCCCAATTCGGAAAGCGTTTCTGAAAAATATTGCATTGTATGTTTGTTTGTGGATTAGTGTCAGCACATTGCCTGTCACAATACTTTCCCTTAAGATGCCGAGGAAAGAAGTGCGTGCAATTAAAATTACAAGCCATGGTCAATCTTGTTTAAGTGCTTTTCCCACAAATGACAACTCGCAGTGGTTATAGGCTTTTGTCTGGACAAATTTGATGATGCGTGACGCTGTGAGATTCTGTGGTCCTCTCTTAACCTGTAGGGCTAATTTTGAAAGCCATATTTTATAGAGTAAACATCTAAAATGGGAATGATTACAGTGAGACAAAAGGGGAAGGGAACATGCAAAAATAGCTGCTGCTGTCTGAGAGCTCCTTTGTATGAGAAAGGCCTATTTATTGTAAGGTTTTCATCTGCAGGATTATCAGCCCCAGCCAGAGCCTCTTTGCTGATGGGGGTTTCACATGGCTTATCTAATGTGAAATCGCCATGTGGTATATAGTTTCATTAAACGGTGATCAAGAATGCATTAGTTCAAAACAAGAAAAGGCAATGGAGCTTAAGCCGCCATGCATCCAAGTGCAACAACTTTAAAGAAGTTGTTGGCGTGAGACAATTTAAGAATTAGAAGTCTTCCTCTTAGACACAACTCCCATTAGCCAGATAAAAGTTAGTCATGCAAAAAAGGGGTTTAGTCTTTTCACTTGACAAAATAAGATGATATAACAACAACACTCCTCACCAAATAAAAAGATACCAGACATTTGCAAGATCTGAAGGAACACAGGAATACTACAGGATATAAAGCACATATAATGTCTATGTTACCGTAACATAATAAGCAGCATGCACATTCAGCAGTCACTGTGCGTGAAGTATAGGACACACTCCAATGTGTGGTTTCTCATGGAGATCACACGACCACAGGAATTACTATACCAGAACACTTAGGATGTAGGAATATGATTATACCTGCAGTATCTGGTATTTTCATAAAGGACTCATCAACAAAGGTTTAATTTAATTGGCAGATTTTTAAATGGGCTTATATTATGCAGAATTGACTCTTGTGAGCTTTAAGCCATGTCAAAAACATACCCGGTTTCATTCACACATGTTTGAGTAACCCTGTGTACATCTCCAATGTTCAAAATGGTCTGTTCTACATTGTGATGTCATGGAGCGGTAGTTTCCAAGTTAATAGTGACCTTTTTTCTTTTTGTTCAGTAGAGATGGGCAATACCTGCGCTGAAATCATCCAAATGATTCAAGCGAAGGTGTATAAAGTTTAAAAACACAATGGAGAACTTCCTGCATCACCACATGACATCACAAGGTGTAACAGTGTGTTTTCTGTACCTAAATTTGCAGAATTCCTGTGTTAAACATGTATGAATGAAACAAAACAGAAGTCCAGGTCTGTTTGTGTTGAGGAAACAACATTATAATATAGATCTGAAAATAGGGTCATATGGTCCCTTTAAATGATCATTAATGACCATTTGTGAATCAGCAACAGGTCTGGGAAAGTGAGGGTCACATGAGTTAAGGGTCATTCATTCTATACTATACCACAGTGTTATAAAAACACTAAGTAGAGTCTCTGTTATTTAGATACAGGTACTATTCTAATCGCTCCAGAGTACGGCAGCTCTATCTTTTTAACTAATCTCTGGTAATACCCTTTTAATCTATAAGGAAACAATTGTGGAAATCAAAGTATTCTACTATGATGCACACCCATTTTTGATTTGATCAGACTCTGACGTTTGGCGAGCACAAAGTAAACAATGCAAACTGCCGACGTTATCAGTTTCTTATGGGCAATGAAGTGTAATTTGTTCCATTTACACTTCACAACAGCATCAGATGGGCTTTGTCAGTGCGGCATGGAGTAATTAAACCTGAAATCAATAGCAGGCATTTGTCATGTTTACAGCCCCTCTTTCTGCTGGGTTAAACTCATCACTTTAGTGCTGTTCTGTTTTACTGCAGAGACACACTTCATTATGTCGGCAGGTAGAGTTGAGATATTCAGCGGGCACATATCCCATACTTCGTGAGACTGTATTCAAATCAAAGGGATATACATGAAGAGAGGCGTCCATGAAGTGTGTATGGTTGATCAAGAATGTCGCCAGTCTTGTAACCATGCTTTTGATAGTGAGTCAGTCAGCTATCATCATACTACTCAATCAATCAAGCTACTCTTAACAATTACTCTTGCATTTAAAGGGCCCATATTAGGCTATTGATTTTTTTTTCCATGGGGCCACATGAGAAAATACTGTGGAGGGCTGGGCCAAAATGAACTCAATTCTGCATAATATTAATTGTATTTCTTTATAAAAAGCAGTAAATAGCATTGCTGGTAAGACTAGTTGACAAGTTAGTAAGACTGGTAAGAGTTTATGTTATGACTTACTAATGAAAAAGTGAGGTTGCCTTACAAAAAATGTCATTAAAAAAGACCTCTAAAATAAAAGCAATGCAGCTTTAGTCCATGTATGAGGTAAAGATATAAATATTTTTATTTTGTAATTCCAAATTAGCTTAAACGGGTCAGTCAGAGTCAGAGCCAGAGCCAGAGCGCCGTATGTGGCCCAGGAGGTGTATGTTACAATGTTTCTTCATCACAAACATACCTGGAGTTATGTTTTGTGTCATTCACAAGTGTTTAACACACAAATCATGCATATTTAGGCCAAGTTCAAACAGAAAACACTCTGTTTCACTTTATGATGTCATGTGGTAATACAGGAATACACCTTCACTAGAATCATTTGGATGACTTCAGCCCTGAAATTGCCAATCTCTACTGAACAAATGATTAAAGGTTGCTTCTAACTTAAAACCTACCACCACATGACATCACACAATGATAAAGGGTTACTCAAACATGTGTGAATTAGGAGTTAACAACATTATAACATGGCTTAAAGCACACAAGAGTCATTTTTGTGTAATATAGGATCTTTAATTATGGTTCCAAGTGGTTAATTTGACTTTTTTTAACATGCTGCTCTAAAATTTGCTTTCTTTTCATCTGTTGATGAACCCAACATATTTCTAGCTGTGCTTTAATGAAAGAAAGTTTTGTCAGAGTATGAAAAGTTACTCACTCTTTTGCATGACCTTGGAGCTTGTCTTGTAATACTATTAACCTGCTTACATTTAATTTAGCAATTATATGAATTGCTTGTATTTAAATTTGCACATTTCAAGCTTGACCAGCTCCTTAAAGAGTTACACAAGCCTCTTACTCATTTATTGTCCACATTGGTGGTGATAAGCTACTTTAGCAGGCCTCTCCAGTCTTAAAGATGCACTACGTAACTTTTTAGTTATCACTTGCAAGTCTCCATAGAGATGTTGCTGCTCTGCATGGAATGTTCCACAGTATGGTATTAAAATCATCTATCTTTTATTTATTTAATTACAAGTGTTTCTATTGTCGCAAATTCCCCGGTTTGGTGGAGTCAAATACTTGTCTCCATGGCGATTACCAAGTTATATGCGGTACTGTGGAACATTCCAGGGAAAATAATAACATCTCGATGGAGTATAGAAGGTTTCGGACCCTCCACCAGTAAATTTACACAGTGCTGCTTTAAAATTCACAGACAAGGTGGAGGAGGTGTCTTGCCCAAAGACATAATTATAATAAGTGTCTTCTGGGGATGAATTGATCTTCCACCAGAGCCACTATCCTCTTTAGAATATTATTTTTTATTCTTTCAGTTGTAACTAGGTATTTGTGTTGTTGCCTTTAGCCTTTTAGTTGATTATTCTGTACTACAAATGTGCAGATTAAACTCATGATTCACAAATTTAATCTGCCTTTATATAAATACATTGTTTCATACTTCTTTTTCTGCTTAAATTGTTGTTTTTGCATGACCTCCTGTGCAGGTGTACTCTTATGAGTGCAGATTGTGTCAGATACATAGTGATTCACAATCATTTTAAAGCTACGCCCCCTTTTTGTCAACTAATTGATCAGCAGCATGTCTTTTGTCGACCCAAGAATTTCTTTAGTTGACTACAGCCCTTGTTATTAGTATATGCTCATAGTAGTACTCATAGAATTATATATGTACAGTGTTGAATGTGAATGAAAGGTAAACAAAATCCACTCCTCATTTTTTCACTTCCCCACCTTTTTGTGTCTATAGGAGGCGCTCACAGTTGCTCTGAGCAAGAACAAGCAGTTGGCAAGGACCTACAAGCACCTGACTGAAGTCCTGTTGGAGGCCAAACAAGAGGCTGTGTCTGCCCTGACTGACAAAAACAATGCTCAAAGATCTTTTCTCTATTACACCCAGGTATATGTGTAGAGATGAGTACAGTTTTCCTCTCCGCAGGACTTCAGTCTCTAGTGAGGAGGTTACCGCGGCAATAATGATGAGTAAGGGTGCGTGGAGGAGTATGATGGATGTGACATGTTGTAATGATAGCATTGTAGTTTTGCCAAAAAAGGGAGTAGTCCTTTTGATGCTGCATATTAATACTTAAACTTTAAATTTAGAGTTTTATTGTTAGGCTGTAAAAGTTAAACATCTTAACTATTTCCATTTTCCATAAGATAAAGCATACTCCAGATTAGAACAAAATGGATGTTGGCAGTCCTATAGCAGATTTTGACTAGCTGCAGAAGACGATTCAGGGCCCTCTTAGTGTTTAATCTTTATAGTTTTTGACATTATTTAGCAGGAGTGGAATTACACATGACAGCCATAACACCAGCATGAAACAACACCGCTCCCGCAATGAAAAATACATATTATTTCTTCCAGAATTACTAATACCTTTACTTGAGCAATTCCTCATCTAACTGCCTGAATGTTATCAAGTGAAAAATGCATGCAAAAATAAAATCCTGTGGACAGGATTTTCCACGCTCATGATCAAAGCCTGATTTTCTTTTACTCCGGATTCAGCCTTCACCATTTTGTTTGTTTCAGCTCTGCCCTCGTATAACAGCAGCCTGCCGGGCAAGTGCATGTCCCCAGTTTTTATGTATTATCAGGAGTCCATCTGAAGTGTAGGTGGCAGGTTACTGAATCGGATTTCTATCATTACAACCATTCAAATACTCTCCTTCTCTTTTCTTGGGTCTTGTGTGACCCAGCACAGCAAATTGTATGACAAAACATCTTACATTGTATTAGGATTTCTAAGGGGAAATAAATCAATACCCATGCACTCTTCAGAACTATAACTAGTATTGAAACTATATACTTAGTTGAGCAAGTCTATAACAAAGGCATAAATCGGACAAACCTCAACCTTTTCTGACACTCTTTGGTATAAAACAATTATTTTTTATTATAATTTATCGATATCAGTATTGAATACCACACTTGAAATTTTAGTCCCAGGACAACATTACTTTAATTTGTATGTCTTCAGTTTAATGTATTAACTATTTAAGTGATATCTGATGAACATAGCTAAAATTTGTGCTGTAACAACACCAACGAATAACCAGAACAGTCATGACCAGTCCTAACTGACTATTAAAATAATTGTTAATAATTTGAAATTTTCAATAATACACATTAGTTGTAAATATTCTATATCTAGAAGCCTTCAGTCACTGCATACAATCAAAAAATATCTCTCACTAGTGGAATACTAAAAAATATTGCAGCAGTATTTGTGTTGAAGCGACTCATCACTTTCACAGGCAATAGAAGTGGTTCTTAATTGGAATACACCTGTTTTAATCTTGACTATCCCGCTCTGAACAGCAGTCAGTTGTGAGAGTGAGAGTTTAATCCAACATGTATAGGCTTTGTGTTAGATTCTGCTTCATGTTACAACACTCCCTTCTATACACAGTCACAACTGGAACAGTACAGGGTACACAACATGGCATCCTAAGCTGGCATTTTTTTGGAAGGTGTAGTACTGTACGACTTTCAACATCATTTGAAGATGGTAGTTGTTCTTTTAAATGTTGTGAAGAGACAAGTTATAGATAGCAGCTCATTAGCCACTGCAGAGGTAAAAGTACTAACTCCATGGACAAGTAGGTGGAGTTACCAGGTCAATATACAGGCCAGATCTGTGGTTATGAGCAATACAGCACACAGTAGGAATCCATGAATTTCAACATACTTTGAGCTAGTTTTTGACAGCAAAAACACATACAATTGATTATAAACCAGACTGATCAGTTCCTTATGGGCATCCACAATAAACATTAAACATTTAGTTTAATGCCATAGAGGAATCATAAACACATCTAAAGCTTAGCTGTTGGAACATTGTTCATTTCTGAATACTGTCACTCGGTCTTTGGGCAAGGCACTTCACCCACTGATTTAGTGTGACTGTGGTGTGTGCATGATTGATTATTATTATTTGTCACATACAGCATTTGTACTTTTCTGAATCCTCAATGTATACTCCCAGACTTTCTTGCTAGATCAACCTAGCATACCTAAAGCTTTAAATAGTATTGTACAGTGTTTGTCATTTAAACTAAGAAATGTTCAAGGGCTTCTTTTGTAAGGATTAGTAACTCGAACAATAAACTAAAGTGTACTGGTAAGTATATGTCTCTCCAAACCACTTTTGTTGTACTGTATGTGGTGAAATGACTTTGTTTATGTGGGAGCTTTCAGCACTTGAATTTAACAGGCTACACCATAAAGAGCATTCTTGTTATTGTCTTTCCTTCAGGAGCTGATGACTGAGCTAATTCGCTTTAGTTTTCAATGCACTGGGGAACACATTGCCAAGCAATGATAAGCTTTGTAGGAAGAGTAGAGAGATGGAGGGGAAAGAAAAGCAATGGCATCTATCAGAATTTAAACCTCTTTGCTTGAAACTGTTTTCAAATAATAAAGCAAGCAGCATGTCTTTCCAAGAGACTAGGAATAATTTCTGGTTTCAGTGGGGGGTTCATGACTCTGTGTGTATGTGTAAAATATGTCTTGAGGGGATTGGTATAAAGTTAAACTGGGTGAAGTAGAAATATTTTACTCATCAGCTTTGCAGTCACAGAGTTTGCCTCGGCTAGAACAAAACTGCTGAAGCATTTAGAGAAAATTAACCCCCCATCCTGGCAGCCAGATGTGACTGGATTCTGATGAGTGCACACGAGTGGGCAGAGAAACCAAGAGACTGTGAAATTCCTGTCAGGCCCGTGTACTGCAGAATGGGCTATTGACTGCTTTCTCTATTCCCCTCCATCATTCTTCTTGAACACTGCCATTAATTTCCTCTCCTGCCTTACCAATTCCTTTTCTCTGCCTTCTCTCCCCCTAGCTCTCTTTGTTGCAGAAGAGGATGCACAAAGCTTTGGTGGAATACTTCAAACAACGCAGTCTCTACAGCCAGGCTGAACTGGATCAGTGCCAGGCTCTTTCCCGAGAGACCGACCAGAAAATAAAAACAGCCCAGGTATTTATACATATACGTGTAAATCTACTACAACTGCACAAACCTGCACCTCCCATTTACATGGTAAATCCTTTTATTCATCTTTTATTCCAGTCTAGGCATTTGACTGGTTGGTGGCATATTCTTGTGCATACTACAGTAACTCCATGTTACGCTTGGCATTGTGTGAGCCTCATCCGGCTAGTCAGTTGTCTTGTGTCTTCTTTGCCAAGCACGAGCAGCCAGGCAGTGCCAGAGTAAAACATCCACCAGGGTTTTCTGGCTCACTGTGGTGGGGCTGTGGACACCAGTGGCACATTAGGCTCTATACGTTCCCTCAGTGACTCATGTGATGAGTGATGTGATGGATGAGGCGTCTGCCGGGGCGCCAATGTGGTGACCCCATGTCTGAGCTGAGCTCTGCTTCAACAGATAACTCTATAGACATGTGTTTGTACTTTATATAACTTATTGTGCCTTTGTGCTCCACATACATAAAGTAAATACAACCATCTTATGCCTACATATGATACCCTAGAAGAAGCATATTCTACAAGGTTGAAAACTTAGGCTCTTCAATTAGAGGATAATCGGTCTCTAATCTGCACTGCGCTCTGAGATGAGGTCAAAGCGGACAGAGGGACAGTGATGAATCTTTATGAAATGTCTTGTCCAGGTGCATTACTTTTCTATACAACATTAAAAGGAAAGTAGCTCTAATATCTTACCACAGTGCATTTTATTATTATAATTATATATTGTTAATAACTGAGACTCAGCTGATTCTAGCCTTGAGTTTCAATGTTGTTAAGGAAGGATTAAATAGGCCACTGCTTGGATCAAATGAGTAAATCATCTTCTGTACATGGGAATTAATCATTCTTCTGGTTTAAGGCACATTCCACCTAGCTTTGCATAGTTTGCATAGTTTTACCCTTCATGAAGCAAACCTCCCAAATTATTCATGTCTGGAAATGGCACAGTCTTTATGAAGTCTGAATGCGTGGCTCCCTGTTAAGCATTACTGTAGTTGTCTCAAAGTTTATTATTATTAAGTTAATGAGAGCGATGTTTTCCAAAGGGTTGCCATGTGAAAACCCCATTAAGTACTTCTCACTTCCTGCTCTCTTACAGCTGACATGTTTTTTTGATGGGTCTGGTCCAGACATTACAGGCAACTGGCATGTCTCAGCGGCCCAGGCTGAAAAGGCCCCAGCAGATCACAGCTCAAGGCAGGGAGGAGTGGGGCACAGGGGGAGGAGCTATCAGAGCGCTACAGAGTGTGAAGGACAAAAGAGCTGGTGTATTCAAGCGCACAGCACCGTCACCCGTCACAGCTCAGCACAGAGTCCATCAGAGCAGGCAGCCCTCACTTTGAACACTTTGGATCACAATCTCACAAAGTGCATGTGGAGAAGGACATCGAAATAAGGACATAGAATCACACTTAGAATATGTTGGAATTTTGAATATATCACAGAAACATATAAGTTTGTACAGCAGGCATGCAGGTGAAGTTTCTAATGAGACAGAATTGCGGTAAATCATTATCAGTGATAAACAGGTGAAAACAGAAGGCAAATCAGGCTAAATAGTGACGAGGCCAGTGCTAATTCATCATGTCCACTTAACCTCATGAGCCGGGCATAAGAGAGGTCAGGTTCGTTTCACAGCGAAAGCCAAATGGCACTTTGTTGTGCTCCAGCTTGTGGGGAAGAGGCCAGGGAACCCTGGGGTGGGCGAGTGGGTGGGATGTGGGAGTGGGGGCTGGCGGGCTGTCATCCTGTTACACTGCTGCCAGAACTGGCAGTTCAGCTTTGTGTTCTGCAAGTTTACACTAGGGATGGCATAATTGACAATGGCTAACAGCAGAGAGCACTGCACAGCCTTGTTGAATGGCCAGTAATGATTGGAGCAGACGCCCACTGCCCCATTCCCAGGGGACAGTAATCCAAGATCCTGTTTCTGATATAATTGTTAGTCAGAGAATTTCTGCATGGCTAGGCTGGTTCAGATTCCCAAGCTGGTTGACAGTGCCAGGCAGTTTAATAGAAAAACTGGATGCTGAGGTTTTTAAAACAGAGGAGCACTGAACCTGGACCTGGTTCACCAGGAGCCTCTTGTTCCTCCTCACAATAATAAGAACATGATGGTAACTCTCACAGGTGTGTGTGTCTTTATAGAGCAAGCACTGTTTTAATTATGCACTTTTAATACAAGCTCGTCTCAATAATTGTACCATTTTCTTTTATTTTCTTACAGGAGTGGTTGGCTGGAGAAATCCATGCTATTTCAGCATTCCTGCAGTCTTTCACAGATGACTCCACTTCCATGGATGAAGCCCGGGTGAACAAACAAGCCAGTTCAGATGCAACTGAATCAAATAAGTAGATTCCTTGAGTTCTAACAGCAGTGTAATTGGACATTCACCTGTACCAGACAACTTACTTACCACAGCACGCTTCACTATCCCCCTCTTTACTCGCCGCACATCCATAACAATGAAACAGGTGACTTTCATGCTGCTGTCAGGACTGATCTAATTTTAGCTGGGTGAATGATTGCAATTGGCTTTGCCTCATCAGATAATTAATCTATGTCACCATTAATTGGAAAAGAGAATAATTACAGGCAGTGTTGACAGAAATTCTACGCTTCTCCAGATTCCAAGATCTAATTACAACTAGTGAAACCCGGTGACCTTAACTAGCACTTAGCTCTCGACCACCACCTTGACCATGCCTATGCCAAGTCCAGTGTTTCTTTAAAAGCTGTTTTCATTATCATACACACACTCCTTCCTCTCCTCACTCTCCGAAAGCTGTCTCTCTCAATCACTTTTCAATATTCAATCTTAATTTTGTGGAAGTTTAGCATTTTCAATGAGCTGGAGATGAATGATTAATGAATAAATTTAAATGCTTCATTTTGTCCATGGATCATTAGTTAAGTCCTTTGTGGGAAGGACCTGAGAAAGGAGTGAAAATTATTGAGACATTAGCCTGAAGCAATCCAGGGGTAAATAGTGTGCACAAAAGGATGTTGTGTGCGCACTATCCACTGGCTTTTCAGAACCCTGGGGACACTCTATTTTCAATTTAATCTTAACTAAATTACATAGAACGCTTGTGAAAACAAATTTTGTGTTGTATCATGTTTTAGCAATGTCATACTTATACCAATGTACACTGCTAGAAATGAAAGTCAGGTGTTATTATTATGATTGTATAACTTTGAAAGAAAACATACTTCAGCTGACCATTTTCCAGTAGTTAAAATAAATGAGCTTTTGTCTGTTCTTAAGATAGTACTTTAAGCTATGTGTGAATATGTGAGGAGGGGTTTGGTGATGCAGCTAAGAGAAGCCTTTGTGACTTGTGAGACAGAAGGGGGCAGTGTGAACCTACAACTTTACGCATAGAAAGTAAAGGCATTTTATTTTAATGTTGTTGTTTTTTTTACTGTATAGTCTTTAGTGTAACATGTTTGGAGGAAAAACAATATCTGCCAACCATATAGTTTCACTGCGGTATTGTACAAATATAGACACAAGTAAAGTCAGGGTTAAGAATTAATATCTCTTAAAGCTATCATCTTGTAGATTTCAGAAAGCACCTTGAGGAGAAAAATGCCTGGTCTACCTCATATTCCTTAAGGCTTGATGGTAATAGCTCAAATGAAGGCATCCTCTCATCACATTTTTCTAGTTTCTTTCTTCTAATCAATCCTTTAAATAGATTGAAGTGTGCCACACCTTGATGTCATCACATTCATCTGAAGGTACACACACCTGCTCCTCTGAAAAGGCTGGGGATTGCCAATATGCTGCTTATTAAAGGAAATAATATTAGCTTTTTTATGAATTTAAATCATTTAAAGGTCCTATATTATGCAAAAAATTGACTCCTGTGAGCTGTGAGCCATGTTAGAATGTTGTTACCTTATCATAAACATACCTGGAATTGTGTTTTGTGTAACTGAGTTGTATGAGTAACATTTAATTATTAGTTTGTCTACATCTCCAAAGCTCAAAATGCTTCTGTTTCTGTCATGAAGCATTCGTTTTCAAGTTAACAACTATCTTTCACCTTTTGTTTAGTAGGGACTGGAAAATCCAGGGCTGATCCAAATGATTCTAGTGAAAGTGTATGGAGTTTAAAAACACAGTGGAACACTTCCTGTATTGCCACACATGACTGAGAGAAGAACTCAGCCTAAATATGCAGAGTTTGTGTGTTAAACAAAACAAAACACAACTCTAAGAATGTTTGTGATGAAGAAACAACATTACAACATAGATCATAAAACAGCGTAATATGGAGCCTTTAAAGTATATACTGTATGTATGATATCAGAGACTGTTTAGAATATACACTTGTTTTGTATAGAGGAATATGTTTGCAAGAGACATGTTGCTAAGATCTGATTTACAGGCAGCCCGATTCTCAATTTCAGCCCGGCGCCATCATGCAGACGATGGGTCCGTTTCATTTGGATGCGCTCGGGCGGTTCCCTCTGATCGGTGACGTGAAGCCAAGTGAATCAGAGCGGCATTCTGTTTTCCGAATCTAACCCAAATTCTGTTTTTGAGATCTCCCTACACCCAGGAAAATGGAAGGTAGCGCTCAAAAGCACCCTGTCTTTGTTTGTGAGAGCAAGAGGAGAGCTGAGCCACGGAGCTGCTGGAGTCAAGGAAAGAATGTGAGTGGAGAGAGGTGCCACTGTGTCTAAAATATCAATGAAGGGGATACTGCCAAGTATTACTGAACACAGGGGAAGTAGGTGTTAACAGTGTCAAGAAGTTTGGGGAGGTGATTCTGTAAAAGGGTCTTGAACCTTGACCAGGCGTAGATGTCATTAGAAAGTTAAACAGAGCACTTTACATGATAGGCCTACAGTAATGTGCAGGATGGTAATATGACAATAGATCAAAGTAATTTAATAATGAATTTCATGATTTCCCAGGTGATACAAGGTAGTCAAATGATACTTGCTGAGATAAACACTGTTACATGTTTAGTGATTTATTGTTAATAATAAAATCATAATGTCATGATTAATAATTAAGTATAGTTCATTAATAAAAAGTCTGTTCCTGTAGCTCCAGCATCTGTCATTCAGTCCAACTGCAACACTGCACTGGAACAGTACGTGCCCAGGTAAGTCAGCTTAAGTTAAAGTGTACACAAAACAGGCCGAACATATTCATCACAATAACAATACATGCTCCTTGTGTTTCCACACTCGTATGATTTCAAAGATATTTATCTTAACAGGATAATAATTTGTGAAACTCTCTGACATTTGTGGCTAGCTAGCATGGTAATAAATCCATGGCTTGGAACATTTTTTAGTTAATTAGAGTCAATCAATCCAAACTTTGCTCACTTACCGGTGTGAAACCGGAGTATAATGAGCAGAAATCAGCATGGTGATTGGAAAACACAAATTACAGCTGTTAAAGAGAAACTCATCCACTTTTCTTCTGTTGATGCCAATGCCTGCTGCGAGGATTTAAAATTAGCATGGCATTCCTTTAATGGATGTTTGGGGAATGTGTGCCTCTATAATTAAAAACACTTAATATCCTTGAGCACAAAATAAGAGGGGTTAGTATGATTACATGACAACTTCTTTAACCCATATATATATGACCATATTTGTCTTGATATGATCAAATCAGTGATCAAATGGTTTTAATGGTTTAATAATATGCAGTTGTCTATGGGGATGCTTTATGATATTCTGTAGATGGGACTTTTAAACCTGTATGTCCAGCCAGGCCTGAATCTATATTATTTCTGACATGTCCCATGCTCCTTACATTCTTGGAGTAATGATGTGAGTAATAACGTGGTGATGTTAACAGTCCCCTATTACGACCTTTATCTGATCTGACTCAGAACATGTGTGTCTGGGCTGACCTGACTGTAGTGGCCATGTGACCCCAGCACCACACTTCTGTTTCCTCAGAGTTCACAGAGGAGGAGGAGAGCTTATGTTGTTGAGCTCATGTCGTCAAGGCTGCTAACAGCAGCTTGCCATTGTATTAATTATTGTCAGGGAATCCAAGGGGTGTAGATAATACAGAATGCACTGGTTGGTCCCATTTGTTTCACTTGTCAGTGGAGTGAATAATTGGGAGTGCTGACCATATTAGACACAGAGAATTTCGAAGATACGACTCAAACAATTTCAACACAAAAGTATGACTCGGAAATTAAAAGCTTAATGTCTCAGAATTTTGAATCAGTATGGAATAATTTGTTGGCTCTTGTTGGCTTTTGTTCATTTAAACTGTTTCCAATTATAGCAATAGCAATATTAAAATCTACATTTTGTTCTCCCTCTCATTTAACACAGTACACAACATTTAAACCACTATCAAGAGGACACTTATTTTTAGTTTATAATTTCGGCTTTTTTATCAACATCTGATATGACCAAACATTAACCTGTCATAGGCAAGTCAAGACTTTAAATGAAGTATCAAGAGTGAAAAATGTCTCGCATTTCTGATAAATGGCTCATACTCGTCAGAATCATATTATGGTCTGTACTGTGTATCGTTGGTAAAGGTCTTGCATGCCACAAAGCAGTATATAAAGTTTCATGTGCAGATGCATGTTTTCTTTAACTTTGCCTGTTTTTAATGGCTTGAGGACTCTGGTTCGTTTTAGCAGAATGGGGTTTGCTAATACAATGGGGCTCATCTTGCAATTCTCTCAAGGAATAACTATCAGTCCTGCTACAGCGGCTGCAGCGTCCCTAGGTGACCGCGCCACTGAGCCTGTGCTCGCTCCATCGCACCCCACTCCACGCCTGCTGCCACCCTGAAGGTAGATGCATCACGCTGGGGAGAGCGAGCAGCAGAACCCCCTCTCCTCTCAACCCTCCAACCTCCTCCATGGCACAGTGGCCTCCCGCGGCCCCCACACACCCAGGGTCCTCACTACAGCCCCGGTCTGTGTCGCCCGCACTGTCCCTCAGGTGGGTCTCTCTTAACAGCACCCCTCCCACAAGCCAACAACTGCTCTGCTTTTGTCATTTGAGAATGCCACACACACATTCATGCATACACACACTCACGCTCACACACACGCACTCACACACACTCATGCACACACACACACACACTCCTGCAGTGACTCTGGAGGGGACACCGCCTGTTCCTTTCCGCTCACCTCCCGGCTGCCGCCTGACTCTCTGAGCCGTGTCTGTGGTGGCTACGCCATGTGTGGGGATCTAGGGGCTTCAAACAGCAGGCTTCCTATACTCCCAAAATGGCAACTAGAAAAGCTTACAATTTATTACACACCGGACGATTTATCAATTGTCTTTGAGTAACTTTCATCGGGGTAACAAGCATGTGCTAATCACAGCTATTATTTATTTTAACAAATAGTATGATTTTAGAAGAAGATGTTGAAGTAACAAAATGTTTGTTGTACCTCTGTTTGACTTTTTGACAGAAAATACAAACTTTATTAGGACTGCACAAGATTTTGTTCTGTAAAAGAACAACATAAATCTGAATTATTTTTTGTCTATCCTCTTTGGTGTGTTGTTTGTTTAAACACACATTTGCAGTGTGAAAAAATGTATAAATATTTTTTAAACAAAGTTCTGTACATTTTCTATAATACATACATTTTTCACATTTTTTTACTTAACAAAGTGCATCTTCAGCTGTACACAAACATTTGCTGCAAGACTTTTTAATTCTGCAGTTTCTAATTATGAAAATACTTTTTTTAAAGCAGGCAAATTATTTTTATTTAATTTGATACTGGCAAACCTTACGCCTAAGGTATTTCTGTTTACTAAAGAAGTTTGTGGTAAAATCTGGTAAATCACATTTTCTGATGCTTTTTTTTCGTGGCATGATTGTTGACATAAAGAGGTATCTGTGAAAACACAGGTCAACTCAAGGCTCTCACTGTTGGTGTTTGCAGTCCAGTATGACCATATGACCTCTTCTGCCAGAGAAGGTCAGACCTCCTTCTCTGACACAATCTTGAACCCTCTACCCAGTGGAGCAGGCTCCAGCATGAGCTGCTGATCATGGAGCTTCAGGTTGTTTAGGAACATCAAACAGAGCTGTGGAGATGTAGAGTGGGCTTTCCTCTGGACTGAGAGCCCTTCTGTGTGTGCTGGTGACTCTACAGCTCAAGTACCCCTCAGGGACTTCTTACATTGGGCTATTCTGTGTTTTCCCTTGATCTAAATCACATTGGAAACATTTTGAGATACAATTAACAAAAGGGGGCTGGAGTTTCAGACCATGGATGCCCTTTGTGAAGCCATCTTCACCACATGGAGTAATGGAGTAATGCCCCCCTCCCTGGTGCTCGGTAACCCTTGGCATCAACAAGCTCTTTAATGTTTTAATGATCAGCAAGAACTGTGTAGCAACTAAATAGTTTACCCTTTGTGTTCAATTTTCATTAGACTGGCATTGAATGAAAATCTCATTTGTATCCTTAGAATGACAGTGTCTGTAACTGCATACGATAGGTTTATTATAGCTCTTCCAAATAATGCATACATAATATATATTTTTATACATATATTTTTTCATATATATTATATAATAAATAAATAAACTCTAAAATAATTCTAGATATCTAAATAGAAGCAATATAAAGTGAACCAGTTTGAACTTCATATGATGCCATACCACACCACACTTAGTTAACAAAATATTTTACAAACAAGATGATATCAGCCTCTCCATGATATTAATATGATATGTTCTCTGATCTGTAAACAGCTGGTTATCTTGCTTTTCCACGATAAGAGAAAGTGCTGAGGATTTACGCTTGGTGAGCACATTTGGGCTGAATCTTTCACACGTCACAAATTGCAGATGGGAAGCAGTGATCTTGAACAGCCGATCACATTTCCGTGACCATCTGACACCTTCCATTTAGGAAAATAATACTTTCTATCTTAGCATACCCCTCTGCAGCAGCCAGCAAGAGGAATTATGCCTGCTATACTTTTGCTGTTCTCAAGTTTGGAGCTTTTGCATCGTATTGTTTCGTTGCACTGATTAGATTAAAAGCTCACATTTTAATCAGACCATCAAAATGCAATGATTTAAAAAAGAAAATGCTGCATGTGCATAACAGGAAAGCATACCTGATTTTAACTCCATGTTTTCATTATTATTGTTGTATTCGTTTAGACATTATAACTACAAAAACATGATTCTTTAACTTAATAATGCAAAAATACGTATGTGCAGTAAAAGGGCAGTATCTGTGTAATATGACAGATAACTATGAGTTGGGTTAACTGGTAGCGAGAGTTGTAAATCACTGTAGTGTGATTCTTTGTCTCTGAGGGTTTAATTAGTCTAGAAATTCTTCTCTTATCTGATGACCCCCTCCCTCTGCACACTGCAACAACTTACAACCATAAACGCCCTGCAATCGGAAGACCAGTGGCCTCAGGAGACCAAGTTGCTACGAAGAGCTGAAAGAGTTAGAAATGGTCATTTTATTGTGTTAGAATAGTACGCTCGAGACTTTGGGTAATGTAGTGCTGGTAAAGATAACAATATGGGACTCCTATGTAAATTACAGAGATCTACTGTACCGGGCTGTTGTTTCAAAAAGCTTGTGGGCATTTGTATATTGGACAGCAGTTGTTGTTACTAAATGTTTATTTATTTTTTTACTTTTCTAGATTCCTATCTTTAATGGCCCTATATTACACAAAATGGCCATGTTATTAGGCTGTTTTTTCCTCAAAAAAACATACCTGGAGTTGTGTTTTGTTTTATTCACACGTTATTTTATTCACACAGAGTAATCCTGGATTATTATTAGTCTGTTTACATCTCCAAAACTCGAAATGCTCTGTTCCACCTTGTGATGTTGTGTAGTGGTAATTTTCACGTTAATAGCTCTCTTTTACCCATTGTTTAGTAGAGATTGGCAAAGCCAGTGTAGAATTATCCAAATGATTCTAGTGATGGTGTACAAAGTTTAAAAACACAGTGAAGCATTTCCTGTATTGCCACATGGCAGTTTTCCATTTGAGAAAACAACCTAAATATGCAGGATTTGTGTGTTAAACATGTGTGAATAAAATTAAACATAGTTCCAAATATGTTTTTGATAAAGAAACAACATAACATAGATCAGAAAATAGTATAATATTGGCACATCAAACTATTCATCATATCAACTAGTTACACTACTTGTTTGAAGAAGAAAAAATAAAACCTAATGTAGTCTGTTAGTAATACCATTAGAGGTTATTTCTTTAGACGTGCGGGATATATTGAAAAATGGATAATATCACAATTGTTGTTCTGGGAATAGGCAAAATTAGAATATTGAGAAAAATAAAATATACAGAAATGTTTTGTGCAATCTTCCAAACAACTGAATAAAGTGATAATTCTGCACTTTTATTTTATAGTCCTGCCATATTGTGTGTGATACTTGAACCTTCCAAGATGTTATAGCACATTCCAGATGCATTGTTAATGAATATTATTGAAAATTATTATTGCTATAATGCAAAATATATCCAGATATTCACTCTTGTATATCACCCATCCCTGATTTTGTAGCAGTCTTGGTATTTTATTGCTTTACTACTACTACTACTACTACTACTACTACACTACTACTACTACTACTACTACTACTACTACTACTACTGTAGAATTCAATTTTATTTCATTCTACAGTGTTGTATTGTATTGTATTGATGAACTGATAAAACTGAAATGTGTTAAATATGTAATTACTACATACTGAATCTTTAATTGAGTAGTCTAATGCTATTTTAAAGTAACATTGCTCTCACTCCTGCTACCTCATCCACCTTTACCTATTTATTTGTATATGTACGTCTTGTCATATACTATATCAAACAAAGTTGTCTTATTAATCCTATCTATGCAGGCCCTGTTACTGCTTTATGGTAGCATGGTGTTGCTCTATTTCATAGTACATGAACAAACCCATTTATCCCTATCTGTCATTTCATAACTGGCGAGGTATCTGTCACTGGTAGTCCCCTGGGAGTCCTGTATGTATGCTTTTTTAGCCTAATTGAGCTCTTTATTTAATTGACAGGTTCTGTTCTAATAAGTAATTCCCACCATTTTTGATTGGAAATTCAGGAGTGCTTTACATTGTGGCGTCTCACTAACGTGGGTAAACATTAACTTGCTCCAAACAGAACTGTGGGTAAAGGGGTGGCCTGTCTTTAAAAGACAATATATTTACTAAAAGTTTTAACTGAGCACCAATTTGTTATAGTGTTGCTCCACTTTTGACCCAATAGGCATTGGAAGTTTCATTACTGCAATAATATGTGTGCTGTTACTACATATATATGTCCATGTCCTTTATGGATACAGCCAGTATTTAGAATATGTATCTAATATATTTAATGGAGAGGGATTAAAAAATTCTTAACTTTGCTTTACACTTTTCTTCAGTACATTTACTCCTATAGGGTGATATAGAATTCCCATACATATGCAATAACTTTAACATCTCCTTCTATTACAGATATCAAGTATCTGATTAATGGCTATTGCCAATACTCCTGAGTAAAAAGTATTCATGAGAAATACATGCCCCAATGAGATTGCAGATAGCTTTAATGCTGACTGTTACTTTGGCTATAAATATGCAGCTTTAGGACATTTGCTTGGGCAAGTTGGGCCAACATTCATTGGGTTCATTGTGGACTTGTGTGCACTGGTGGCTGTTCTGGATCAGGTTTCACTCCTTTGTGTCTATGGCCTGGAGCTATGCCCCAAAGTGTGGCCAGGGGGTAAGATTAGAAAACAAATATGAAAATATGGTGACTTCAGTTGTGTTTTGAAACTTTGTATCAGTGTGTTTTTTCTGTTAACATTTGCAAGTGTGGACATCACACTATGAACATGGGTGTGCATGTTGTGCTTTTATAAAGATGCAAAGCTGTACTTTGTGTCGTGCACCTTCTTTTGAAGGACTAGTATGAGCAGAATGAGATGAGGGGTTATTTTGGCGATGGAGATTAAGGCAGGGGCTTTTTGTCATTTGTGCGAGACAAGCCATTCATCCATCCAGTTCACAGCCAAAAAAAGGCTGGTCCCAGAAATTAGCAGTTTCAGCTCAGCAGCAAAGTCGTCGGGCTGTGAAGGCAGAGAGAAATTGACTAATTAGCAATGCGCACTAAAACTTGACGGTTCTCTCTATAACGGCGAGGGAAAGACTCGCTTTTTCTCCCCCTTTCTCTTTTCTTTCTTCCATAGATGTTTGAAATCGCAGTCATTTACGCTCGACAGTTTTTACAATAGCCTTGAGCCATAATTTTGCGAGTCTCTCCAGCATCCATACCCCTGCATGGTCTCTCTCCACCGGCCATGCACGACCGTTTCTCTCCCCAACCGTGGATTTCCTATTACTCTCGTTACGACTCACTGAGCCCCAGGCCCAAGGATAATGATGTGTTGTTTCTTGGTAGCATAATTTGTCACACGTATATTTCTTCTTCTTCTCTTGCAGAAAGCACAGCTCCCTCTCACACTCACACACTTCTTGTTAATTCAGAAGAACAAATGATCAACGTCAACAAATAACGCGAAATAGTGACTTTAAGAGTTGGAATCAATTGTTATTTGGAGTCACCGGTTACCACAGACTTTTTGAAAGAAGAACAGACGGATTTTAAGTAACATTACTGGAACCTTACTTTCTTCTTTGTCGGGAGCTGAAGTCAGGTAAGTTTGGCTTCTTCTCTGTGAGCTGTTCTCATCATTTAGTGGTGACAGGCGCTTTTACTGGATCTGGCGACTAACGTTTACGCACGCTCGGGTTAAGTTCATACACATTACGCACGTCAAAATACCGCTTCGTTGTTAGGAACAGGCATGTTTTTTGCGCGCAACTTTTTCGAAAACTGCATTACAACGAGCATTTTATCCATTCGCGGTCGCGTAACTCAGGTATTGTCGAAAAAGCAAACGTACCCGTAGCTTGCTGCTGCTGCTGACGGCATGGAGACAAACTAATTGCTTTTGTAAGACTCCGTAAATGCTCGAGATGTGCCATGTCTTCGTTCTGGGGGAGTGCAGCAAAGTATCAGGGGTAGGTGTTGGAGGGATGCAGCATCTCAACCCATCGGCGTAGCGGCTGTGTCTCCTCTCCGTAGCCGACAACTTGAGTGCGTTGTTGGGGGATAGCTCTGCAGCATCTCCCTATCTTCGTTTGGTTTGACAGCGTCCCTCGGAGCTCAGTGTGCGTTATAGCCTCTCCAAATAAGAATGAATAAGTGCGGCACACTATGGAAACTACTGCGTTTTTGTTTGTTGCTGTATGACCAGAAGTTTAAAGTGACTGAAGCTTTACTGGACATAAATTCACGCCGTCTGCTGTTGGTTGTTTTTTATTTTGGAACGGACAAAGGAGTGATTTGTTCTCTAACTTTTGTAAGAAATGTTTTAGTAGTTGACTGAAAGCACCCAAAGGGGGCTTGTGAAAATAAGAAACCTAAAGTGAATACTTGCTTGGTTGTTTGTTGCTTAGGTGGCGTTCACATAAAGTCATGTCCAGATCGGGTGATAGAACATCCACCTTTGACCCAGCTCACAGTGACACTCTGCTGCACGGGCTCAACCTTTTGTGGAGGAAACAGCTTTTCTGTGATGTGACTCTCACTGCCCAGGGACAGCAGTTCCACTGCCACAAAGCGGTGCTGGCGTCCTGCTCCCAGTACTTCAGGTCTCTCTTCTCCTCTCACAATGTAATCAACAATGAGGGCAGTAAAGGAGACCAGGCTAGCAGCGGGACCCCCTCGTCCTCCCCAGATGACAAGCTTGTGACCCCCACTGCCAGGCCCATTAATAACCTGGTACTACAGGGCTGCTCCTCTATTGGACTACGCTTAGTGCTGGAGTACCTCTACACTGCCAATGTGACTCTTTCCCTGGACACAGTGGAAGAGGTGCTGTCAGTGAGCAAGATTCTAAACATCCCTCAAATCACCAAGCTGTGTGTGCAGTTCCTCAACGACCAGATCTCTGTGCAGAATTACAAGCAAATCTGCAAGATCGCCGCCCTCCATGGACTGGACGAGACAAAGAAGCTGGCCAACAAGTACCTGGTGGAGGATGTGCTTCTGCTAAACTTTGAGGAGATGTGTGCCATGCTGGACGCTCTGCCTCCCCCAGTGGAGTCAGAGCTGGCACTCTTCCAGATGTCAGTGCTGTGGCTGGAGCATGACCGCGAGACTCGTATGCACTACGCCCCAGACCTCATGAAGAGGCTGCGCTTTGCCCTCATCCCTGCCCCAGAGCTGGTGGAGAGGGTGCAGTCGGTTGATTTCATGAGGAGTGACCCGGTGTGCCAGAAACTGCTCCTCGATGCCATGAACTACCATTTGATGCCCTTCAGACAGCACTGCAGGCAGACCGTGGCCAGCAGGTGAGACGGACTAATATATGGCATTGCATACACACAGTAAAAAAGTCAATTGAATGCCTCCCACCAGTTAAATCTGAACAAACAGCTGACTCAAGTCTTGTGCCATCACTCAAGTGATCCAAATCATTATGGACATTTAGAGGTAGAGCCAGCCAATGCCACTTCATCAACCACTGATATCTGAGGTTCTTTGGAGCCCACTCTCCAAAACACATGTGGTGTTTTTTTCACACACGTGTAATTGTTTTCTAATCAGTGGAGACATGATGTGGCTAACCAGATAAAGACTGCAATTGATTCATGGCAACTCTCATGAATACAATTTGAAACGCTGTGATTATAGTGGTACCAAAAATTACATGGTAATTAAATCAAAGATCTTGTAATAGCTCGTGAATAAGCTACTAATTTGAAACAACATGAAAATATGAAGCTAAAGATTTTGGTCTTTTTACTAATTATTTTTTACTGCATTAACATAAAGTGCTCTGTTTCTGTCATAATAACTAATGGCATGAAGGAAAAATATAAGGCCCTGGTCTAAAATAGGCCTAATAGGTTCCATTTGCACAAGTTGATTGATTGACGTTGCTGTTGTCACGTTTTGTTTACCTGACAGCTATGTGTGTGTTAGTACAAGAGCAACAGTCTAATAGTATTAGGAATTACAGTTGAGGATTTAGCAAAATGGTGAAATTGACTAGATCCAAACATTCTCTAAATTCAGTAGATCACTTATTTGTAAGAGCATTAATTTCTTCTTTACTCCAATAACATATCTATTTCCGCATACGGGTCTAAATGAGCAAGGAATAAGGAATCCTCATAATTAGTTTCACATGCCACTGTTTCTCTCCTCTCAATTAATCACCATTATCTATGTCCAGGGGCTCATTTGCATATGAATAACCCCAAAACACTTCCGAGTGGGCCAGTAGCAGAGCGAATGTACTGAGACAACGGTTGTTTATCCAAGCATAAAAAAGTAAAATATGATTCGGAAAAAGGTGACCGTGCTTGAATATAAACTCAGTTAGTCTTAATATTTGAGCACATATTGTGATAAATTAGAAGATTTGCAACACAATCCATTAAAGGGTACAATAGTGGCTAAAGTCTAGTAAAGTGTGAGATGGTATTTTGTGTAGAACAACGGGGGATACACTGGCACACAAATGTCACATGAATCTCACCAGCCAATGAAATGAAGACATTGTATAGACAGGTTTATGCTCTCTTTGCCTGCAGCATGGCACCCCACTGGACTGACCTCACTTCACAGCTAATTGAAAGGATGTCTGTAGGGACCCATAGCCATCCAATAACACATCCAAAACACAAGTACACTTAATATGATCTGATTGTAAGAAATGCTGTCACGGGATTTATTCAAACTACAAGGAAGTGTGCCACTCATTGCATAATACATATTTGTTTCTATATTTTAGATTTCTCAACATTATGAAGTGTATGAATTAGGGGTTTAGTTGTTAACCTAAATTAAATTATATAGAGGATCATACATTTTATATTTTAGAGTGTCTCAGCAGTATCACAATTAGCATGATTTCTACTATTAGGCTTTTCTCTTATAAAAATACAATAATACTTTCACTTCAAATTATGTGGGCTTTCTGTGCTGTGAAACAAACCATTTTGGCAATCTTACAGCTATAATGTTTATTTTTATGTTGGAGATAGTGGGTTGTTTTCTCTTGTTTAGTCCTGTTTTCTAACACTGGTCCACCAACCCACACTTTGTGACTTTGCAGAATCCGTTCCAATAAGAGGATGCTGTTACTGGTGGGTGGCTTGCCTCCTGGACCCGATCGCCTCCCCAGTAATTTGGTCCAGTACTATGACGATGAGAAAAAGACATGGAAGATCCTCACAAGTGAGTAGAGGCCTCTGCTTTGTACCCCGGGCATCTTGTATTACTGGCTTTATGATGAGAAATAGCTTTTCCTTTGAATGACTTTAACACAGGTTAATTTCCAAGCAAAATGAGGGAAGGAGTTCCCTAAATCCTTCAGGTAATAATGTATCACTATCACTTTTAATATAAGTTTTTAATCAGAGCGTGACTTCGCAGCACTGTGGAGCGTCATGCCCGGTTTCCCTTGTTTTTGCTGAAATATGCTGCAAGATGCATGATGAGATTTACTTGAATGTAATGATCTATTGTGGCGGAGCTACAACAACACTGAATCACTTATTTTCTCAATAGCTTCTAACAATAGCTTAATTATTCAGTGTTTGTCAGTACCTAAATCATAGAAAATAATTTTAATCTTATTTATTCTACATTCTTGACATTTTAAAACAGCCTTTTGCTTTTGAGATCGCCTCATAAAATTCAGAGATGCCTTAAAGTTTGAATGCATACAATGGAACTGACCAAACAAAGCGCATCTATAATGTTTAGAGGAGCATCTCCGAGGAAACCAGTGGGTCTTTTCTCTCTGTCATCCATGACCTTTGAAGGCCCAACACCATACTGCTGTAGTGTTGCAAAGGTCAAACGAGAACTAATGGAAAGCCATATTTGTTCTTTGCATCCTCATCTCTGGACTTATTGAGTTCTTGTCCCTTGTTTTGGTTTGAGTCATAGCTCAGGACTGTTTCTTCATTTGTACATATTACTCTGCCAGACTGCCCCATTACCCTTAATCTTTTGTTTTATAAGTTTGTAGTAAATTTGGTGAGATTTGTGTTCTTAAGTACTAAAGTAACAGTGTTGGACAGAGTTTCGCAATTCATAACATTTCTTGGCAGTAAAGTGGCATTTCAGCTTGTGTTTGGCCAGATTTATCAGGAGCATTCTGCTAAAGGAGGCGTGCGTTCACAACAGCCTGAAGCTCGCTGGTGTCTATATTGTTATTTTCTCATTACACTCACACTCATGGGTATAAACTGCAACAAGCAAAAGGTCAATAGGGATTTCCATCAGTCAAAACTAAAAAGTTAACACTCAAATGGTCCGTGGCCAAATGGAAGGACAAAACTGCAAAATCATCCCCTTAACACATCAGTGGCCATCTGATGTAGCTTCCACACAATGGATGTGGAATAGAAGATTATTAACATTCAATCATAACTTTTCAATGAGGCGAAACCTGAGAGGGACAGGCTTTGATTAAGACATTCATCAACACAATTTGGGGAGAATTTGATCCCTCTCTTCAGAATCCTCTGCCTGGTGATTCCAGTGCAAAGTTTGCCATCTAGTGTACCCACTGTAGCGTGACAAACAGCAGACAAAGCCTCGGACTCTCCCCCCTGTCTGTGCTTATTTAAAGCAGCACCATATTAAAATCCCAGGCTGGTGTACACTGTACGGCCTGAACAAAGGAATCAGCTCGGCAGGATGCGGCTGTAATGTGTTGAAGCACGTCAGAGCTCAGCAGCAGTGGTGCATTAGCTGAGGAGCCAGTCAAGCGGCCCCAACTGCGTCTCTATGCAGAGGTTTGTGCCTCCCTCTAGTGAGCCCTGCAGCTCACTGTAGTCCAGGGACTGATGGCTTCCATCTCATAAAGACGTGCTTCTAATGCCCTCCTATGGCGGCCACGGCTACCTGAGGGCTTACCTGGGGGTGATCCACTTAATACTTTTGATTTGTTTAAACAGATGAATCAAAATGAAGGATATTTTAACCCTCCTGATTTTGCCATAACAATTATAATCATTTTGCATTTACATAATCAGTAGATGTTATCATTTAGAACTAAACTTTGTAATAATTTTAAACATTATAAGTACAATAACTGCTTCTGTCATTATCAATACAATCTTCAAACCTGTCAAAACCATTATATGCGCTTTATTCCAGCTTAATTAGCTGTGTATTCAGTGAACTATGATGGGCTGAAAAACTCATTAATTAATCAAAGTGAAATGTTAATTGTGATAATAATGTGAGGTCTTATCGCCCAGCCACACCGTAAAGCAATAATCTTTTACATAGGCACAAGATTATTTGTAGTGTTAGTGCAAGTCAGTAGACATCATCGAAAAGGGCACTCATCCATGTCATATACTGCTGACTGAGATAATGTAAATAGCAATAGTCGTCTTATGGCACTTGTCTTTGAGGTGCAGTGGAGTTGGACAGCCTAATCCCCTCTGTGTAGATAAAGCTGTGTTTAGAGTATGTTGTATTAGTATCCTATCAGAGACCTCCTCCCTGGGTGGAGCGGCACATGTCACCGCGCCAGAGTGAGATTGCAGGGAGAGGCCAATTGGAAAGAAATGAGATTCAAGGCTGTCTAATTTTGCAGCAACTGTGATCCATCAGGCAGTGGGGAGGTGACAGTGGAAATGACTGATGGAGACAGACAGGTGGGTTTTAACATTCCACTGATTTGTGCTCAAAAAGCACCCGGCCCGAGATTTATTGAGTGAACACGATCATGTTCATTATGACTGTCACCTAAGACCATTTCTCTACATCTCAATGGGGTCACTTCCACAAAAAGGATAGTGGAGGGGAGCACAAAAACATACTCAAGAGAGAGATTATACACAGGTACTCCTTCATCCAGGGGTCTGCGCTGTTTGGAAGAGCAAGGCTTTTAAATCTAAATCAAAAACTGTTTTACCAGTAATGCTATTTAATTAGTATTGGGATTCTCTGTAAATGAGCCCATATAGTATTATCATCACAGATAGTTGGATAATGAAAAGACAAACCTGTGTACAGTGAAAGTAATAAGTATTCTCGACAATTGAATGGTATTATCAAAAGCCTTACTAGTGACATCTACACAAAGGCCCATTTGCAGAAATTTATTCTTGCAATAGTTTTATTTAGAAACAGTGGCTGCAGTCACATGTGCACTTAAAATTTTATTTATTGTTAGATTTTTTGACTATTAAAGACTATGAAATTAATATGTAAGACGCAATATAATCAGATTTCTTTTTAATCTTAAAGGTCCAAAAATCAGATAGTAATCATATTTTGGTGTGCATGTAAACAAGGCCAGTGATGTGTCAAGTGGTCTCTTCCAAATGCTTTTTGGTTATTAAAAATCAGGATGGATATTTGAACAATATGTTTAGTTACGTGGTGTCTTTATGCATTCATGGCTCAGTGTTCTGTATTGTTAGATGTTTTTTGTAAATATAAACAAATATATTTTGTGTTTTCTCCACAGTAATGCCTTACAACAGTGCTCATCACTGCGTGGTGGAGGTGGAGAACTTCCTGCTGCTGCTTGGAGGAGAAGACCAATGGAACCCCAACGGTACAAAACACACAAGACCACAAATGTGTCACAAATGTTGATTCCATTTGACAGAGCTCTAAGTGATTCACTTCAGAGCAGACAAGAGCAGCTCTGAATGGACAAAACACCAGATCAAAACTGGCAGAAAACACTAAAATATTTTAGTGTGGAACTGTTAAAAGTCCTCTTTGTGAAGAGGTTTTTACAAGCCACAAAAACAAAGACTTCGAATGGTCAACAATTATGCTTGTCTCTTGTGCTGTAGTTTTATATGTATTTGACTGAACAAATAAAAACAAATAAAGTTTTACCATAAACATTATTGTCATAATAGTGAACAATTATTTATACTGCTCATATTGACCCAAAATGTCTTCTGCAGGAAAACACAGTACTAATTTTGTGAGCCGCTATGATCCGAGATTTAACAGCTGGATCCAACTGCCCCCAATGCAGGAGAGGTGAGAGTCAATTTATGTGTGCTTCCAGAAATAGTGCATTTAAATTAAAAATAATCACCTTGAGTTTATGGAATGATCTTGTCCTCACATCTTTCAGGAGAGCCAGCTTTTTTGCCTGTCGCCTGGACAAGCACTTGTATGTGATTGGTGGGAGGAATGAGACGGGATACCTCTCCAGTGTTGAGTCTTATAACCTGGAGACCAATGAGTGGAACTATGTGTCCTCTCTCCCACAACCTCTGGCTGCCCATGCCGGAGCCGTGCACAATGGGAAGATTTACATATCAGGTGATGGTCATGATTAGACTTTGGACTCTTTAAAAGCTCTTATATTACACAAATTTGACGATTGTGATCTTCTGGCCATGTTAGAATGTTGCTCAAAAAATTTACCTGGAGTTGTGTTTTGTTTCATTCACACATCTTTCAGTAACCCTTTATTATTAGTCTGTCTACATTTTCAAAGCTTAAAATGCTCTCTTCCACCCTGTGATGTCATGAAATGGTAGTTTTACAACTTAATTTTACCCTTTGTTCAGTAGAGATTAGCAATTCCAGGTCTGAAATCATCCAAATGATTCTAGTGAAGGTGTATGGAGTTTAAAAACACAATGGAGCACTGTATTACCCTGTATTACGACATGACATCACTAGGTGGAACCAAGTGTTTTTTGTTTGAGAGATCTCAGCCTAAATATGAAGGATTTGTGTGTTAAACATGTGTGAATGAAACAAAACACAACTCCAGGTATGTCTGTGATGAGGAAACAACATTATAATATAGATCAGAACATAACATAATATAGTTCCTTTAACTTGCATTAGTCCACTGCTTTACCTTGTGTAGATGAGGGGACTTATAAACATTAGATTGTGTTTTTGCTTACTCAGACGCAGCAAGTATTAATGAAACAGTGTATAGCAGCTCAGATAAGTGTTTACCTTTTGCAGGGGGAGTGCACAATGGGGAGTATGTGTCCTGGCTCTACTGTTATGACCCTGTAATGGACGTGTGGGCCCGTAAACAGGATATGAACACAAAGCGGGCTATTCACGCTCTGGCCGGCATGAACGACCGCCTCTACGCTATTGGTGGAAATCATCTCAAAGGCAAGTACTTCATCAGGGATCCATGTTGAGTACACTTTATTCCTAATTCATTAAGAGAATAAGGTCAGGGCTGAACAACAAAATTACTGTTACGTAGTCGGTCATTAATGATTATTTTGCTGCTGTTCCAGTTGGGGACATGCAATACTGATTCTGATACCACAACTCTTTCTTTAGAAAATAGAATGTGAGTTTCAACATCAAATCATAGTGCTTTGTTTTATATTATCGTCTGGTCTTATAACTGTGTAATCCCTCGTCCAAGTAGGTTCTAGTCCTCCTAGTTTATGTGCTCTTATACTTGTTCTGAAGCAGCTCATGTTCATTCTAAAACTATTCAGGAAAGGTTTATTTCTGTCCTGTGAATGTGACTTTTTTAGTATTGATACTTACAAATCTAATTTTTGATACTAGTTTTAGTATTCACTGATATCTGATTTTCGATTTTGACAACCCTATTTTAAAGCTATAGTTTTTGTCAAGTGTATTCCTTTAGTTTTATCATTATTATCATTTCTGTTCGTTGACATATTTCTTGCAGCTTTAGTTGTGCTTAATGCTCTGCCAGCTCTGGTAAGACGATTATAATTGATCAAACTTTTGATGAGCGCTCTCTTCATCTCCACACAGGGTTCTCTCATTTAGACGTGATGCTAGTGGAGTGCTATGACCCTAAAGCCGACCAGTGGAACATCCTGCAGACGCCCATCCTGGAGGGCCGCAGTGGGCCAGGCTGTGCCGTTCTGGACGACAGCATCTTCCTGGTTGGAGGCTACAGCTGGAGCATGGTACTGTCTGCACATGTACATTATTTTTATGTTTCTGTGGTGTCTTTCTACTCAATTTAAAATTTTCAAAGTTAAAATTGTTCATATATGTCTTAGTGATATAAATTCATAACATTTGCTGCTAAAAAGTTTCAAGAAGACAAAAAACTGGAAATAAAATGATTCTAACACTGTTGTTTCTTCTCAGGGGGCCTATAAGTCTTCCACCATCTGCTACAGCCCAGAGAAAGGCACATGGACTGAGTTGGAGGGAGAGGTGGCAGAGCCGTTAGCGGGCCCTGCCTGCTCCACAGTCATACTGCCGGCCTGCCTCCCTTTTAACAAATGACAACTAATGCCACCGACGGGCCCAGACGTCAGGGAGGAAGACTCCGACTGGGACGAGGAGCGACAATGAGAAAAACATCAACCTCCAGACACCACAGCGGGGTTGTGTATAAATATTATTTTTTTACCTGTTTGATCAGAGCACTTTCGTTCTTCCGTACTGAAGATTTGGAAAAAAATGTGTAAGTATGAAAAATGCAGTATTCCAACAAAAGAGTTGGTTCATATTTCATTTCTCTGTTAGTAGATGTTTCGGCTTCTCTTCGATAGCACATGACTGAATTATAGCTTTCAAACCATTGTATCTTGCATTCACTTGTGATGCTCGAGTGATGGACTCCTCAGTATGAAAGGAGCTGAAAAAGAGCTGGATACTACAGAAAGTGACCAAGGACATGTATAAATCTGGTTTATGGCTCTAGACACATTCGTGTCCGGGTGGATTGTGCACTTATCCTGATTTTCACCTGGGCAGAATATGCAAATGTTTGTTTGACAAAGACAGTAAATTACTGGGCTCAGTGGTCTGTGATAATCCTTCCTGTATGTGGGATTTGTATTTTAATGGGTTAAGACAAAATAATGGGTCATCTTGACCCAGTGTGGGCAAAAGATCTAGACAAATGAATTTGATTCACTCACCTGGACCTACTTTCACATGTGGAGGAAAAGGGACTGAAAGACTCAAATGGTCAAAGCATTATGTAAGTTCTAGAGCATTATAATTTATTTTTTGTTGTTTTACAAATGTATAGTGTCCTACATTTTTTTTGTAAAAAACTAAAAAGAAAGAAAGGTAAAACAAAAGCAAGAAAAAACATGACATCCACTGAGTTCCACGATTCCCTGTGCCACAGTAAATACCATACTTACTCCACAGGTCATAGCTCTGCTTCTCACTTTTGTGGCTGCTATTCTAGATACATGGTTTCAAACAGCCTCCCATCAACCACAGTTCATTAGTCCATTAATTCTACTGTCTTTGTGTTTTTGCTTTGATTTCCAGAAGAGGTTTTCTACAGCACTGTAAAAAGTGAAAAATATGTGATGACCAATCCTCATGTTTCAGCTCCACTTGTGTGAAACAGTTTCTGGAGACGTTCATGCAGGTTTTCTGCTTTACACTAAAACTCGTCAAATGTTTGTTGCAGTTTCAAACGGTCCTGATACTGTTAATATAAAACTCTAATATGTGATGTGATGATGGTACAATCAGATTGTGAATGTTGATTTATGGTGCATAGCATCTCTGGGGAAACACGTTTAAGGGACATTTGTACTGTCCTATAACAATTCAATGGGATCCTAATGTTCCATTCAAAAATACAGCAGTCCAAAATGCACTATTTGTGAAATTTTACCCTAATAAAGTTACTTAAATGTAAATTACTAATACTTTTGAATCTAATTAAGCCTGATTCTTTTTGGATCAGGGCCAAAAAGTTGACTGGAAGTATAGATGCCGTACCTGTTGACTTCTGTATAGATTTACTGATTTCATTCTTGTACATAGTTGCTTGCGGTGAAACATTTTTTGTGCACTCAACTTTGGATTTATTCTCAAATCCTGTCCTTTGCATTTTAGAATATAAAAATAAATACACTCAGATTCAAGCTTGATCATTTTTTTTGCTGTTATAAACTTGGTCAAAAAATTGTTTTTTGTCATATGATTTCATTGATGGCACTCGCCCTACTCAGCATGGAAAAGTTGTCAGAATTTTACGCTCCCACCTTAAAAATGTACACAGCCTCTCATTCAATTATATTTTTTTATTTGTTTTACTACTTTCTAGAAGACATCAAACATGAAACAGAATGTATAGAATTATGTAGCAACAAAACGTATATTCAGATTCTCAAGATAACCCCCCTTTACTACAACAATATTTAGTTTGAGTTATATACCTTGCTTTATATATTTGATGTTTTTTTCTGTATCTAAAATGTAGAACGTAGGGAAAGTAAAGAAAAAATAACTGAATGAGAAGGTGTGTCCAAACTTTTACTGGTAGCGTATGAGATTTCTGATGCTAGAAAAACTCTGATCTTTTATTAATGCTTTGCAGTGATCTCACACTTAGAAATGCACACATTAGCAAACAGAGCCAAAAAGTTTTAAGATAATCTGAAAAGAAAAAAGAAAACAACACATTTTCAGGAGCCTGTGATCAATACGAGCATCCACAGTCCTGTTTAAGTGTTTGATTTTCAACAAAAAGGTGAGAGTGACTAACTGAAAAATCATTTCGCCTGTTGTAGTTCTAGATAAGTCAGATAAGTCCTGTCTCCCCCACCAGGACTAAACAAGATGTGGGGGGACAGGGCCTTCTCCACTGGAATTCCCTGCCCAAACACATCAGAGACTCATCTACACTCACAATCTTCAAAAAAGCCCTGAAATCTGTGAAAACTGACTTTAAATAACTGCATCTCCTGTTTATTTGTTTCTTTCATTTGTGTTTGTCTTGAGTTATGTGAAGCATCTTTGGGTGTCATGAAATGCGCTTTACAAGTGTTATGTATTATTTTTATTATTAAGTCAGTTCTTTCTGGTCAAATTGTGTTAAAACAAAGCTCAGATTAAGTCTAACTTGCGTACCAGAGCTTCTTTCAAAGTAGTGCTTTCAGTTAGCTTCACACCAAATATAGTATCAATATAGACTCTTTAAGAACACACAACCTCCTTCTATTACTACACAAGCAAAATCCTCTTCAGTGTGAACCAGAACAGCAGATAAAGCAAACCTGATGTTTACCTTGAGGGCGCTCTCTCATGCCAGACCGGATTCGATTTGCAAACCGTTTACCACCACCTGTCTCGCGCACCAAACAGCATGCACGTCCCGCTATGTGCACGCCTGATTTCTCCTCCACTTTTAATGGCACCACTCTCTTTCTGCTTGGCATATTCACTTCATGAGTATCTGCCTGCACTTGGCCACGCGCCTGGAGGATAAGACGGCAATTATTTTCTCACATAGATGATTTGGATAGATTACATAAATCCATATCTAATCTGCACCGTGCGATGTGGGGCCCTCAAAGTTGTTGTTTTTGTTGATGTTTTGCGAAAGCCTTGGACAATAAGTTGCGTTCACGTGAAGTCGTAACATTCTGTCTATATGATTCTTTGGTAAAGGCTCATTCTGTCTTCAGTTATTAACTTTGAATTAACTATTCTTTTTGTTTGTCAGGAGAGCTTGTTTACCTGCTTTACATGTTACGACTACCTCCTGTTCTCAGAAGTGTCATGTGGTGTGGTGATAGTGTCTAGTAGGCAGCTTTTTTTGGTTTTGCCAGACAGTAGGGGAAGCTTACGCCCAAAGCAGGAGTCTCCAACCTTTTTCCTCCAGTGAGCTACTTTCACAAAACAAAAATGCCAGAGCTATTAGTTTTAACGGTCACAAGAAATTTAGTATAGAGCCACAGCAAACCTTAGATGAAGTACAGTTACATTAGGGTGACCAGACGTCTCTTTTTTATCTGGGACAGTCCCAGTTTTGAGCCCCGTGTCCCCTGTGTCATTTTTTTTCCAGTTTTATACAGGAAATGTCCCAGGTGTCCCTATTTTTGACCAATCTCATACCTGCCAACAGTAAAGAGAGGCATACATTGTCATTTGTTTAGGTAAAATACAGAAAAGCTGCTTGAAAATGAGCAAAACACAAAGAAAATGTGACTATTCATGAATGGGCCGAGTGCAGTTTTCATTAATTATGCACTTGTTTCTCGTTGCACTTGTTGTAATTTTATTATTACGAACCACCTCAAGCCAGGGGTGTCACAGTTTTTGATTTTGAAAATCTGGTCATCCTATGTTAGATGCCTATAAAACATAAACCTTTACTAGTGTACAAAGTTAGGCATCAAACATGTACAAAGGTAAAATTAATCAGGGTTTACTTCTTCAGGACAATACGTGTAATTCAGAAATCCCTTGATGAGCTACTAGAAAGAGGGAGGAGAGCTACCAGGTTGGAGACCACTGGCCCAAAGACACGACAGTATTTCTCTGTAGGAGCTGGAATCTCACTACAAACCTATGGACCGAGAGATCTGACTACTCTACCAACAATGTTTATTAGGGATGTAACAATAACCAAAATATTGTAATATCGTATCGTCAAAAATCTCACAATAATATCATGTGGCGTCACAATATATCAAATTACAAGTCCCTTAGCTTAAATGCATTTTTTATAGTAGCAACAGCTTATAAACATCGGGAACTACATATCCCATGATTCATTTCAGCGCAGACAACATGAAGTTATATGATTTTACTTGATTTCTTGGGATTATGACAGTAATAATTCACACCAAAATCTTGTCAGAGTATTTTAAAAGCAAAAAAGCATCCTATCTACAATTATATCAGCCTCTCTAAAATATCATAATAAATATCGGATCGTGAGATGCATATCATGATAATATCGTACCGAGAGATTTGGATATCGTTACATCTCTAATATTCATGCAAAATGTTACCTGATGTGCAGATCATTTTTCTGTGTTTACACTGATTCAAACTTGGAACCCAGTGAACAGGCTTAAACATGCACTGTGTAACATTTCTGGTGGGGGATCCGTCAAATGCTTTTCTCCATGGAGATGTTATTGCTTTGGAATGTTTAACAGTATGGTATTAAACTTTTCTAAATTCATGAAGACTAAACCAGACCAAGAGTAATGATAGATCCATTAAAAAAAAAGCAGGTGACCGACCCCCAAGACCCCCCAAAGGTTAAACAGGGCACCTTTAAGACATTTTTTTGGAAAATAGTGCAAATAATTTTCTACAATAACTGTGACTCACCCATTGAGGTACAAGCTAGACCGCAGTCCTCAAATTATGACATTCCCTTTTTGAAAACCATGAGCACAGTAGTAAAGCTGATAATATGCGCCACCTATGGGGACTCAAAATATTCAAAGCATAAAAATAACTACTGCAATTAAGACATACATAATTAAATACCCCAGAACAGAAATGAGCAGACAAATGTAGCCTTAATCTGGTGGTACGTGCATTTGAAGTCTTTATTTATTTTGTGTTGATGGTTGCTGTGGCAGATGGTCGCTGTAACTGCTCCCAGTCCCAAAGCTGGTTCCTTCCTGAAGCTCGGGGAATAACGGGATTGGTTAAAGAGAAGCATAAGTGACCTTTTAATTAACTCCAGCGACCATCACAGCGCAGTTTTAATCAAAGTTGTGCTATCTTTGGTTTTGTGGAGGCGCTGGGAATCGGGGGCGTCCTGGGAGAGGCTGAGGTGTAGTTATGACTGTAGCAGAGGTGGGTGGAGTTGTATAGGCAGAATCAGGACTCAGTGCAGCAAAAACTTCAGCTTACTTGCTTTTTTACTGCATGCCCAAGTTTTTGTTACTTTATTTATTGACTTTTTCAGTTTAAGCAGAATATTATACAACAAAAGCACAGTAGGCAAACTTACTGTTGGGGCCAAATAAGTGTGCCCAAGTTGAGTTTACTGTTTTCACATCTCCAAAAACTTCTATTCTCCATGGATGATGTTGTTTTGCCTATAATGTTCCACAGTGTAACATCAAAACCTAGCAATTTCCATGGAGACAGATGGTGATAATGTTTTTATCAATAACTATCCCTTAAATTGACAAGTTCATACCGTATTGTGAAACATTCTAGGCAACATTTTCATGAGACAAGAAACTAAAAAAGTATGTCTTTAATGTTAGGTTAGGGGTAGGGATGTGCAATTAACCAAATTCATAATTGTGATTTTAATAATTGTTATAATCAATTGCAAAAATGTTGTGAAAGAAAACACAATTAATAACCTTTTGTTCAGAACCTACATTCATTTCGACATTCGTATTCATTTTGATACTTGCCTGAGATCCAGAATACACACTTCTTCAATACTTAACTTAGATCTGAGTCTGGTCACTGATGAATCTTCATGTTTTCAGATTAGTGTGATTGACAAGTGGATTAGCCAATCAGGGACATGCATGGGCCGTCTGTATTCGGAAAAAATTAAAGGAGAAAAATATCACAGGACTGAAAAACAGATTCCTGCAGAATTAATGAGCGAAGCACTAAAGTCTCTTGCTCTGTGATGAGATCAATTTTATTCAATTTGTAAATAGTGACCAATGAGCTCCTTTGCTTCACATGCATCACAAAAAAAAAAAAAAAAAAAAAAAGCAAATTGAATTGTATGATCATGTTTGGCCGGGCTTGATGCACAATGGAGGGTGTGGTGAGCAGACTGATGTCAATTTGTATAAAAGAACATTAGATATAATTCTGGATTTGCCAGGCAATTTTGAAATAATCATGATTTCAATTATGAACCAAATCATCGTTATTATGATTTTTGGCACAGCCCTCGGTAACGAAGCTCTCTCCAGAGGAAATTGTGTATTCTGTATTTAACCCATCCACTGTATTTCAACATACTGTATTACTTCTCTCCAGAGTGAGTTTGGTTTTGTTCATTAGGATCTCCTAATGTGACTGTGTGACTCTTACTTCACAGCAGGAGAGTCCCCATTTAAATTGACAGTGTGGTGGGTCCTGCCTGTGTCTGGGATTCCCCACTAACCTCCTTC